AGAAAACACTAAACGATCAGATAGAAAATTAATAACTTAGAAGGAATTGGAGGACACTTCCGGAACGATGGCCGCAAAATGGTGACGGAAGAAAATTCCTTCCAAGCGTCAGATATCGAGGAAGGCTTTTTAATCGTGCATAATTCCCCTATCCTTGACTCATATACTTTTTTCCTCGAAAAAAGTAAATCCGCGAGAACTGCGAAAAAGGGCCCAGCGGCCTCTTGATGGTTCTTACGATCTCTCGGCAAACTGTTTTAGTCGAAACGTTGAAAGGGTTGCTATTTTGAGGTGGCTCGCACTAAATATGGTCAGATAGGCGTTGGCGTTGTACCCGGGCAAGGCACCCCTGCTCAAGCAACGGTGACGTAGTGGGGGAGATGAAGCAAAGTTACTTAGACAAGTTCACTTCTATGATTCGGACAGTTGGTTCGTTCTGACCATCTCGCACCATCCTCTTACAAACCAACTGTAGACATGGTAAGTAATCGAGTACATATCGTGATTTTGGTTGATAAAAATCGGTTTTCGGGAAAAATATTCGGGAAAATTGCCTGTTGTCCTGCCGTTGAATCTTTTTTTTATTTTTTTCTCCCTCTAAAAAAAAGTGGGGATATCACACAGAAATACGTTACGCATCGTATACGTGACTAGTGGTGGAAACATGTTCGACCTGTTTGCAAAAGGGTAAATTTTTCTGGAAATTAGATGAATCGTATATTGTAAACTGTGTCTGGAATTGTATATATATATATATATATATGTGAATGGTATTCATCAGAGTGCAAAATTTGCACGAAATATACAATATTTTGTGTTTTAATGAAGTGTAAACAGTGATGTTTAATTAGATTTTTGGCCGTTTCCATTTTTTAATTGGATATTATATTTATTATTTGTTTTCTTTCATTCCATTGTGTGTTGTTCCATTTGTTTGTCCGCGCAGCTTTGGATTTTAATCCTTATAACTGGAATCAAATTTTTGACTTTGGATTTCAATTATTATTTTTCGATAATAAAATCGTAACTTTAGAACTTTAAATCAATAGGAATTATGCCATATATTTAATGGCGATACACCATTGGATTTGAAAATCTTTCAATGAATAGACAAACAAATTTTAAGTTTAATCTTAATAAAAATTTCTAATATTCGATTCTTGATACAGTTCATATTCGAATACAATTTAGTTTAATTATACATGTAGTTAGTTATATGATTTCTTTTGTTTATTTCTTTTTTTTTTACACGCTATGAATTATATCGAGTTTACTTTGTTTTATAAGATCTATAGTTGTTTATTTGTTAGATATATATTATAAAAATAAGAAAATTACGTAACTGCATAGTAATTCGAGAGGCTGTACGGGATAAAAGGTCTATATTTGTCTTGGCTTATTTTCAACTATACTATGGATGATAGAACGACCCTATTTTTAACTCTTATGAGCAACGCCTTCCGAATTTTCTTTGATGTTATTCAAGCTAACTCACTCTTGGCAAAATATTGGATAATAATTGGAATACTTTTGTTATATAATTTCAATTATAATTTCATTTATCTGAGATTAAAATGTGTACCGTTCCATTTACAAACAATTCGTAAATTAAATATTTTAAACCGACTTATTCTTTTATCTTTTTATTTTATATATTCTGAAAAATTGCAATATTTATAATTATCGATTTATAATATATATGATTTATGAACTTTGCATAAACACGTATTGTAAACATGATATAATGTATTAATTAAAAAGACACAAAAAAATAAAGTATTTTTCTTTTTTTTTTTACAAATATTTTTTGATTTGCACGCGTTGAACGGAATGGAGAAATTAAACTTAAATATTACAATAAATTTTTGAAGAAATTTGATAAATTTTCATTTTTCTTCTCTCAGAAGAAATTCAAATAATGTTGACTCGAATGATACACGAAATCACGATGAATTTTAGGCGGATAAAGAGAAGAAGAAGAAGACTAAAAAGAAGGAGGAGGCAGCGCCAGCACCTCCTCCACCAGAACCGGAACCGGAACCGGAAAAGCCACCAACTCCAGCGCCAAGCACACCCAAAGAATCTGGCTCAACTCGAGCAAGTAGTCGGGGTAGCCGCAAAGCTAAACGCGCTGGATCCAGCGTGTTTTCTATGTTTACTCAGAAACAAGTTGCCGAATTTAAAGAGGTAGATCGAAATTTTAGCACGAATAATTATTACAGACTCTAAAACCTAATTTTCAAATTCATAAAAATCTTAAATTCGAAGCTCGGAATACTTTTTTTTCTTTCTTCTTTTTTTATCTTGCAATTTTGACTTTTTTCTAATTCATTATAGAACAAAAATTATTATATTGATAATTAAAAGTCGAGTCAAAAGTTTGAACACAATCTCAATTGGATTATTCGTTATTTACTTTAGAATCATGAATAATAAAATATTTTACAATATGTTTACAATAGGCTTTGATCGCTAATTTTTATTCACTGTGAACGCACGAGAAATTGATCAGCTGTATAATAAAGAATAACATTTGATTGCTTACGTTCACCAGGCATTCCAGCTTATGGATCAAGACAAGGATGGTATAATTGGAAAGAACGATCTTCGTGCCACTTTTGACAATGTTGGCCGTCTGGTCACTGATAAAGAGCTTGACGATATGCTAAACGAAGCTCCTGCTCCTATCAACTTTACTCAGTTATTGAATCTCTTTGCATCTCGCATGTCGGGATCAGGTATACAATATACATATATATATATATATATATTCATAAGGAGATATGTGATCACCTCTTATACGATATTTTTTCCTAATTCAGTTGAATAATCTAGAGATTGGCTTCCTTTGATTTATCCAATATTTTAATAATACTATTCTTTCTTGTTCTCAGGTCAGGATGACGATGAAACTGTAATCGCTGCCTTCAGTACCTTTGATGTCAATGGTAAAATTGATGGTGAAAGGTGAGTGATGAGAATTATTCTTATTGTAATTAAAGTACTTTTACTTTTCCTTATTTCCACCACAATGCACACTTATAATTCTCCATATTCCAAAATATCCAAAATATGTTAATATAAATTTGTTAAATTTAGAAAATATGATGAGAAAAATTGGTATAAACGCTGTTATAAGCAATTTAAGATCGCGCTAAACGAAGCGAGACGAAGATAAAGTCTCATTTTACCGCCATCTGGTGTAAAAATTTGGGTGTAAATTTGCGCTACATTCTTTCAAATAATTTATACATTAGTTTAAAAAAATATTTGTATCATCTTTGAAAAAAAAAAAGAGATCGAACAAATTTACTGATATTTTTATTCGATCTTCAATTTTAATCAATATTTTTGACAAACAATTCGAGCACGTTCTTACAAAAATTAAAAATCCCTTTTCCTCCATAGATTGAGGCACGCCTTGATGACGTATGGTGACAAATTTACCGCGAAGGAGGTCGACGATGCGTATGATAATATGTACATTGATGATAAGGGATTTATCGACACGCAAAGTCTTATTGCAATGTTGACTGGACAGGAGGAAGATGAGGAATAAATTTAAGTGACTCTCAGCATTAAAAAAACTTCTGTTAAAATTCTGTTCATTGAAAACGAAGTCTCGTGTTAGCGTCAGGCCCGCTTGATCCAATTTCCAAGTGACGAAAAATCGATTTTTTAGAAGTAAAAATATATACGCTTTTTATAAATATTTTCTTCTCATTTGTTTCTCGATGATTTTGATTCGCAATGATTGTAAGAAATGGATAGATGAATGAATAGATTCTTGGAAGTGGAAACAGCGCGTCTGCCGAAAATCGAGGCTTTGAAATCTCCATATTATTGTTCATATAATAAAATTATTTTAAAACTTTACAATGATTCTTGTTCTAATTTTGATCCGTATACATATATATATACGTATTATTCAATATTATTATGCATCTTTTCCTTCCAAAATTCTACAAAACAAAAATTCTGATAACATTAAATAAGAAAGAATGTTTTTGTTGTGTGATTCATTTAGAGAATAATCGAACAAGATATTTTTGTATCAGTGGTATCATTGTTTCTTGCATTTTGTATTATTTATATATATATATATATATATAAAACAATAAAACAATGTTTAACAATAATACACATTGAATAAAACATAATTACTTCGAATATGAAAATTTCTGATCGCAGAGAATGATATTCTATTTAATTTTCTTTTTTTTAAATTTTATCATTTATTTTTCTTTTCACGTGTGTAAGATGCAATATATCGTATGTTATGCAATAATGTGACATAATTTAAAATTAAACTTTTAATTGTGATTACATAATTTTCTGAAAGCCTCTCTGGTTTAAAATTGGCAAAATGTCAAATTATGTGCTGATGATGGTCAACTACTGTAATTTATAATTAATCATTAGTATAAGGATTCCTTTGAAAGATTCCTAGAGGATTCTAGAAGAAAGTGAACGCAAAAATATCGGTTGAAACTTATTCGTTAAGTTATAAGCAATTTCAGAGGAAGAAAGATAGTGATAAAGAGTCTCTGTCATACCTTCTCATTTTTATCCAAAGCAGACTTAAGTAAGCTTCAATCGACATTTTTGTATATCAATTTTCACGTTTTAATTTTTGGAATTGATCTTCGAAAAATTCACAATATAGTATTTGAACAACTTTTGTATTGCAATAAAGTACTTATTATTATATTATAATAAAATAATCGATATTTGCTCTGTGTGCTTATTTATTTTATAAAGATATAGAATATTATATTTTATTTTAACATGGTGTCTTACTTAACACGAAGTAAGTGAAATACAATAATATAAAAATTTTGCTTTGCAAGATAGACAGGTATAATAATTTAAAAAATAATAAAAAAATAATTTTAAAATGTATTGCTAGACAAGTTTGAATTAATTTGTTAATTAATGAAATTTACTTACTTAAAAACTTGCTTGTAAGTTTTAAATCAGTCCGTTATACGTTATTGTCGTTATAATATAATAATATACAATTGATTAAAATTATTTCTTGTTTTTTTTTTTTTTTTTTTGTTTAATCATTCCTGTTTTCTCGTTTAAACGATTTGTATAACAGAACATTTCGTGAACTCGCATAATTGAAAACTGGAGCAATTATGTGTCTACTGCATCTACTGTTCGTTGTTTCAACAAAGTGAAATACGACATTGTGGTACTCATGATCTGCAATGTGAAAGTAACAAAATATTATATTATAGAAATTGTGATAAAAATTGCAAGTAAAAAAAAAAAAGAATAAAAGAAAAATTAAAATAAATTTCAACATTCTATGCCAAAAATAAATTATCTTGCTTTCAGATATCTCGAGAATTCTTGAAATTTAAAATTCTCGAAACCCAAAATATTTATCATTCTCGTTAAAACTTCTTTTGACAAATTTTTATATTTTAAATTCACGGTTAAATAAACTGAAATTAAAACAGTAGTAACATAAAATAAATCAAAAGTCCAAATATTATAATCAATCATTCAATTATTTCATCATGAAGAAATTTGGAAAATTTGTTTCTAACAGATTCACAATTTTTTTCTGAAAATAAGAATCGATCAAAAATAAATTTTCCAAATTTTCTCGTGAAAAGTAATAATCACTTTGGTGTAAGTCTCAAGGGATATAGGAAAGAAACCACACGCAGTCAGACAACAGGCTCGTCTTGACCTCATGACGACAATTTGCAAATCTTTTCGCAACATTTTCCCAAACTTATCCATCGGTAGATCTATCCATGGTGAAGTGTACGCGGCCGAAGCTATTTCCGCGCTTTCTTGCGTTATGCAATCACAACTGTACGTGAACATCCACAACTGGCACATACCGGCGAATAGATAAGATATGAAGGACACGCGATAAGAAGTGGTGAGATCTGCCTGTACGACAAATTATTAATTAAAAATAAAGTTTTCTTTCGTGGCTAGTATTTGTCTGCAAAACGAATAATTAAGCCAACTAACCAAGATCACTTGGTATCCAAGGAAACAGAATAATATACTGAACATTAATATTTGCCCGACCACGATTATCGTGAATATCTGTTCGAGGGTTTCGCAGAAGTGGAGGAGAGCTTGATGCTGTTGAATGTAATTTTTAAACGCGTTGTAACATTCGTCTGAAGGATATTTAGACGAGTCGAGGTTTTCCTTCTTTTTTAAAATTGGCGCATTGGCTATTCTGTATTGTAATATGCGAAACTGGCAGGCTACGTTCAGGCACAAGATGCAAAATATATTGTCGAAGCAAAAATAACAACTGCCAGCCTGGTTTAAAGCAGCGATCTGTCCAAACGCGAGAAAAATTATTTTTCACGAAGGGATCAATTGGAATTAAGTGTACAAATAGAATGAGACTTTCAAGTTTGAAGTATGAATGTGTTAAGTTAATTCAAATTAAAATACAGAAATTTTTGTGTCGACAGGACAGCATAGGGGAAAATGATTAATACCTGTATCGTGTATGCAATTTCATAATACGGTGAAATAGACAATGGCAGGTCCAGATACATATTAAATATAAGTATCCTATCTGTTTCGTTTCTCCCAATATTTGCTGAAATAATTATTTATATTAATATTTGAAATACGTACTCAATTGTAAATGAATTAATATAGTAGAGCGTCAATTATCCAAATCTTTATTCTTCAGATAATTATATTATATGATTTTTCATTTTATATTGATTCATTTTGAGATGTATAATTTGACAATGTAAGAAAGAATTAAATGTTAAATCAAATTGGATGAACTTACTCAACAATGGTCTGAACATATACATGAAAATCGAAGATAGGGAAGAAAATGTGAGAATACAGACGAAATACGCGGTTGTTTTCTTCGTGTCTTTCACGATTAAGTTTTCTTCTTCGTCGTAGTCGTAATGCCAGAAATTTTTCTGCATGTACGCCATTAAACCAAGAAACTTCTTCTGATGTATGAATAGGCTGAAAATTTTGAAGAAATCCATGACGAGTCCCAAGCCATCGCATGCGATGTAAGTACAGGCCTATAACAGTGCAGTGTTATATTATTGATTCAAAATATAGGATAGAAGAAATTACAAAGTGCTTTCGATTGAATATCTTGGAGCAAGAGGCAAGTAAAACGTTACGCGTCGAGAAGAACGTTAAAGAAAATTAAAAGAAAAAAAGAAACTGCGTATAAAATTATTGACTTAATTCTAATGAATTTTTCAAATTTGAAACTGTCTTTGATTTGCACTCGAATTTTACGAAAAGTTTACGCAATTTATTAATTTATTGTTGTTTCATTAATTTTGTAAAAATATATATATAATATCTTCTCTGCAGCAAAGATAAAAATATATACTTTTTTAAATTATCTAAAAAAATATCATATAATTCGGAACGATATAATAATTTAGAACTATATAAAAAAGATTTATATAACTTTGACAAGCTTACGCTAAAGTCTCCCCAATTGAAATAAAGCCCTCTTATTTGAACCCATGCAGAGAAGGTGATCGCAAGTATAGTATACCCGACCACGCCAATTCTGAAGCACTCTTCCAGGCGGCTGGTTGTTAACCAAAAGCCAACGACCCTTAGATAGAAAGATGCCACGGTAAAAGCAAGGTCTTTACGATATTTCAAATTCATACTTGATCTTCGAGCGATCGGATTGTACGGCCAGGGATTTATAGGGAGAGCGTTCTATCAATTATCGAAAAGTTTCAGAACCGATTGTTTCGACCTACCGTCCCTTTGATCTCCAAATATACTTTCATTCGCGTATACTCGACTTTAATGATATTCGTGAATTGCCACGAAGAAAATGTATTGTAACATATCTATTCGCGAATCCTATTCGACATTTCCACGGTAATTTTAGCCGTAATGTATATGATCGGTGAGTTATGCATGATTTAGGATGCGTTGCAAAACTCTTCGTGGAACTGTGGGAGGCAATCGAATGTAACAGAAAGTTCTGGATAGAACTATGTTGACGTTATACGAGGGAAGAAGAGATACTGATCTGTGAGATAGAGACGTGTATATGATATATTTAATTCGGTACAAGTGCATTCGACGAAGGTAGAAAATAAAAATGAATTTTCAAGCAAAAACGTTGAGGTAGAAGAAGGTATTTTTGAAGGTATTCTTGATTTATTATTTAATATCATGCGTCATCTTGTTTCGTGTAATCGGAAATAATAATTTTTCTCTTTCTTTATAAATTTTCTTCGGGATGATCATCTGATTTGAATTTAATTGGAAATTTATAAAATGGCGTAACATTGATGTATACAATATTGTTTTGTACGGAAAGAATATACATAATATATCGAAGGAAGAGTGATAGAATATATAATATTAAAAATTGATAAATTTTTATTGCTACAAAACTATATCTCTGTTATCGGTGTTAAACATAGAACAAATACAAGGATTTGATTCATGTACAACATGCACTATTGAAATATTAAGAATGTGCCTCTGAATGTTGTTTCAATAGCGTAAAATATGATGCAGCAGTACTTAAAACCTGTAACAAATGAGACACACGTTTTTCTCTTTCCTAACATTTCTATTATATCGAATAAAATATTCTATATCACGATTTTTTAAAAAAGTTTTAAATTTGTTTTTTCATTGTACATACAAAATTTTTAAAATAAAATAATATTTGTATTATAAAATATATTCCAGTTCTACTTACACTAGTGTACGTTTCCAAGGACACGACAAAGAATCCTCTACCTGTCAAGCAACAAGGTGTACCAGACCTCATAATAACGAGTATCAAATCTTTTTTCATCATTCTTCCGCTTGTGGTCATTGGTATCATTGGCCATGGTCCTCTATTCGCTGCCGTGGCTATGCTCGAGCTCTCTCGTATGATACAGTCGCAACTGTAAGTGAACATCAGCAATTGGCATAAGCATACCGTTATGTGAAGGCCGAAGATCAAACGTGTTGTGGTAGATGTGTCTGCCTGAAAGAAGTCACACATGATGTAAGAATGTAATGTTTGAACTTTTTTCTTTTTTAAATTAATACAATCGTAACTTTTTTGAAAGATTTTAGGGATCAGAATGGACACAAAAGTTTACATAAAAGTAAAACAATTCAAGTGAGATCGTTCTATCTTCTATTTGCTTCTCGCTTGAACTTGAAATCAGGTTCAATCGATATCTTCGTATTTATTTATAGAGTTCGATTCGTTTTTTTTCAATATTTAGCGAGTTAAAAATATGAATCAAATATTAGAAAGCAGAAAAATTAATCGATGATAAAAATTATAAAATGTATTATTAAATTGGTGGTTCATATTAATATAATATATACTAACCATAAGTACCAGATATCCATCGAGACAAATTAACAAGCTGAACATCAAAACTTGCTCTAGGACAATCAAATTGAATACCTCTTCAAGTTTTCTGCAATACGCTATAAGGGCTTGGTGTTGGCGAATACACTTCTTAAAAATGGCATAACATTTACTTGCAAAGTAGGACGAGTCCATAATTAATTTCTCCCTTTTCTCTTCCTTTTCAATTATCAAATCCGTTATGTTGGAAATTCTGTGTTGCAACACTTGAAATTGTCCGGCCACGTGCAAATTCATAATGCACAAAAAATTGTCGAAACAGAAGTAACTCACCCCAATGTGATATAAGGATATCACCTATGAAAATTCTTTTTTCTTTTAATATTTTTTGAAATATCAGGAAATTATTCTATTGGATACGAACAAGTACGAAGAAAAATCTTAATTAATCGTTCATGTTTTATTATCAATGATTTTTACCAATTTCGTAACACGATAATATGAAGATGAAGTTACAATACCTCTAAAACGAACGTAATTTCATAGTATGGAGTTATAGTTAGTGGTAAGTCAATCCATATGTTGAACGGAAGCGCTCTGTCTGATTCGTTTCTTCCAATATTTGCTGAAATATAAGTAATGTAACAATATTTTGTTTTTTAATTATTACATTTACATTTATACAATTTTTAAAAATTAAGTATATATTACAAGCTTAATAAATCGTCTTTCTGACTTGCGAAAAATTTTATTTTTCGATAATTGCAAAGCTGAAGTCAAATTCAATGCGATTATTATTACTATTAAAATAAGAATAATAATAAAAAAAAAAATTTACGAAATTGTCAAATTGCAAAAATAATAAGAGAAATTCGAAATTTTTTAATTTTTGAAAAATTTCTGACGATCCATCTTTTATTGAATTTTAACTTACCAACAAGTGGATTAATAATGTAAGAAACAACGGTGGCCAGAGTGGTGAAAGTCAAAGAACAAGTGAAGAACGTGCATTTCCGTTTACAGTTGAGCACAATGTTTCGTTCGTAATCATCGTAATCTCCGTGCAAAAATTTTCTTTGTAGATACAAAATCAAATAAAAAAAATCTTTCCTATGCACAATCAGAGTGATTAGTTTCAAAAGGGGTGCGGCTATCGATAGCATATTGCACATAGAAAAGATACATTCCTATAAAAAGAAAGAGAGAGTGAGATTGTTGAAAATGACCAGTAGAATTCTTAATATAAATTGCATTGAATCAAGTTTTATTCGAGAAATATTCATAAAAATATTAAAAAAAATATTCTCAATTTTTCAAATATATTGCAAATTGTTTTTTTTTTTGTTTCATTTTTCTTAACGTATCGAAGCACAATTACAATACAATAAACAACACAATTAATAGAATACACTACTTAAACGTGTGTGTGATATTTTATAAAAATTTGTAAATTCCATTTCAACAAGTAACAGAAGTAGTGAATACTTACAGAAAAATCGCCCCACGAATAATACATATCCGTAATTTGTAACCACAGTCCAAAAAGAAGCGCGATGATGCTGTACACGATCGTCACGTTTCTCACACATTTCTCCGATCGGCCATTCGCCATCCATATTCCCATGAGTTTAATGAAAATCGACGACAAGTTGATTGAAAAATCGTCCTTTTCCATTTCGATGCCTCTGACAATCGAGTAAAAACGACTGGAATATCTTCTCTCAGATATTGAACTCAACAAGGTTTGTGCATCGATTGTTACTTCTACTACCGTGTTTCTTCAGTTCAGCTTTGATCTATCGTGTATCCTTTAGTTACAGATCGCCTACTTTCTATTTACTTTATATCGATACGATGAAAGAAGGCAAGAAGGAAAAAAGGAAAAGAAAAAAAAAAGAAAGAAAAGAGAGAAGATGACAAAGAACTCGCGATTCTCAAGAGAAATGGTGCTCGAGGAGCGGATGAATTAAGCGTAGATCGAATCTAACCTATTGATGTGTTATGCATGATTCTTGGATGGACTTCTCTGTGAAATCGAAGCGGTGTTAGCAGCTGTCGTTCTGGTCACAGAGAAATTTCAGCATGTTAAATGAGTGAGTTGTGATAGTGAGTTTGTAATTTATTTTTGAATTTGTAAAAAAGTGGTGAAGAAAAGGTTTGGAAGAAAAAATTGAAGAATTGCGAGGAAAAGGAAGAATATTAATTTGTGCGATGAGATTAAATAAAGCGAATTAATTTGTTTAACTCGATGAAAAATTTATTTAATCATTATTATTCGTGCTATTTTTAAACAAACACTTTTGATGAAATTTATGTATAAACGAATTTTCTTGGAATTATTTGTTTAAATAGCATTCGATCTCGTATCTCGTTTTAAAAACATAAAAATACATGTAAAAAAAAAAAACATGTATATTCGATATCTAATCAACACGTGGATTAACATACGTGGATGTGTAATGAAATTTTTAGAAAAAAAAAAAAAAAAAACAACGAGGAAACTTCATTTTATCATTGTTCGATCGTATGAGCAATTACCTATGTATTTTCTATTTCTATGGTTCGTTGTTTTAGTATAGTGAAATATGACATAGCTGTACTCATGATCTGCAATGTGAAATCAATGAAAAATTTCAGTAAGTATTTTAATTAAAATTTCTTGACGACGAGATTATTCGTTTAAAAAAAAAAAAATCATCAATATCGAAAAATTTTTGAATTTTTTTTTTTCTATTTAATCTTAAACAAATATTTAACATTTTAAGATAATTCATTTTTAAAACGGATGATTTGTCGCATTTATTGAAAAAGAAATTCGAAAAAAGGATTAACTTTTTTGATAATATGATTAACAATTACCTTCGTATAAGTTTCAAGAGATATAGCAAAGAAGCCACAACCTGTCAGAGAACAAGCACGTCTAGATCTCACGACAACGAATTGCAAATCTTTTCGTATCATTTTTCCAAATTTATCCATTGGTATACGCGTCCACGGTATGGAATACACAGCCGAGGCAACATTCACGCTTTCCCGTGTCATGCAATCACAACTGTAGGTAAACATCCACAGTTGACACATGTTGGTTATTAAGAAACACAGGAAGGAAATTCGCCACGAAAAGGTCAAATTCACCTGTGTCACCGAGATATTATTAATATTAATAATTAAATAAATTAAATAATAGTACAATTTTTTAGGTGTAATAAAATTCTTCTCTATAAAAACAGAGAATATTTCATTTATGGTATCAGTGAGAATTTTCTTGAGGATATAAATATACAATGTGAAACAGGAAGGAATAAAAAGTATAACAAAAGTTTTTCTCGTAAATAAAATGCGTTAACAGCGCCTAGAAAATTATTTAGAAGAAGGATATTAAATTTGAATTGGAAAAATTGTAAAAATTTTCAATAGAAGAGAAAGTTATAATAATAGCTAACCAAAAGCACTTGATATCCGACGAAACAAATCAACGTGCTAAATATTAGAACTTGTCCAAGTGTAATTATTGTAAATATTTCTTCGAGTGTGATGGAAAATTGGATCAGAGCTTGATGCTGTCGAATGCAATTTTTTAATATGGCGTAACATCTGCCCGAAGAATCCATGTTTTCCTCATTATCGACTTCTTCTTTATTTTCTACACTCGACAAATTGACTAGCCTATATTGTAATATACGAAACTGGCTAGCCAAGTGTAGACACATGATGCAAAACATATTGTCGACACAAAGATAACATATTCCAACTTGATACAAACACAAAGCCTATGTGCACGTAAGAAATCATTCATTAGTAAAACTTTGAATAAAATTTGACGTAGAATTCTTCATTTAATTTAAAAAAGAAAATGTAGTATGATCATCTATTAGATCTATTAGATCAATGGATTCATCAAGTGATTTTGTTGCAGTCCAAATGTCAATTTTAAATTGATTGTAATTCAATAATTTAAGGTATAAATTTTCTTAAATTTAAATATCAAAAAATTGCAGAAATTTTTATATTACAATTAAATATATTTATATTAATCGTACACTGGTTAAAATAAAAACGTAACTTTTCTTTAGAAAATGACGAGTACCTGTATCACGTAAGTTATTTCAAAATATGGCGACATAGACAATGGCAGATCCAGCCACATATTAAATATAAGCATCCTATCCGATTCATTCTTTCCAATATTTGCTAAAATGAAATTCCAAATTCGATTCGTTTTCTTATTATTTGTTAAAATAAAGTTGATTAAAAAAGGATTTCCACTTTATAATATAATTATTTACAAATTTCAAATTTTTGTAAGCGGCACAAGTTATACGAAACGTTTGTTCAATCGAATTAAAAATTACTATTTTTTAATCGTGATTTGTTAAACTTACATATCATTGGCATAAACATATAAGAAAAAACCGTGGATTGAGAGAAAAATGAGAAAACGCATACGAAGTAGACACACATTTGTTTCGCATCTGCTATAAGAGAATTTTCATACTGATCGTAATCGAAATGCCAGAAATTTTTCTGCATGTATGCGATCAAACCAAGAAACTTCTTCTTATGTATAAATACGACGAATACTTTTAACAAATCCATTATTAATCCCAAACTATTGCACGCGATGAAAGTGCATACCTAAAATCCGAGGCCAAAGTTGGAAAAATTATTGATTTAAAACGAAAAAGTCATCAAATCATTCATTTCGAAATTATTATCGTCAAAAATAAAGAAATCATAATCTCGAATTTATATTTTCTTAAAAATATGATCGATATTTACAAAAGAAAGAATAATTTCATTCTTTCATCACTGAACTTACACCAAAGTCTCCCCAAGAGAAGTAAAGACCTCTCGTTTGTACCCACATGGAGAAAACGATAGTGATTATACTGTACATCACTGTGACGTTCCCGAGCCATTCTTCGAGGGGACTGCTGGTTAACCAAAAGCCGACGACCCTTAGAAAAAACGTAGCTAAACTGAACGAAACGTCTCTACGATGTTTCAAACTCATACTGGATCTCGAGAGATCCAATCGGATATATTCGCAATTTTATAGGGGGATACATCTATCAATTATCGAAAAATACTTTCAGAGTAATTGCTCTCTCTCTCTCTCTCTCTTTGATCGTTCTCCATCGATCATTCGTGCACGTTATATTCGTTATATTACAGTGATATTAGCGAGCTGTTTCGTGGCCAAGGGAAGAGAATTGCTATATGTCTTTATTCGCGATCTATTACTTACGTACCTTGATACGTAATGTATGTGATCAATGAGTTATGCATGATTCACGGAACGATATCGTAAATCCTCTGTGAAGTTGAGGTAGGAATGTGGTGGTGGAAAAAGTGGAAGATACGGCCTGAGGAAAATTGTTGAGGTAGCTCGAAAGAGGAAGGTACGTTTTTTGAAAGAGATTAAAATTAACATATTGAGTGGATGATAAGTTTGTGGATAATGTAATAATCCTTATTGTTAATTGTGAATTTATGAATGGAATTTATAATAGTAAGTGGTGGAGTAAGTTTTTAATTGGAAACTTAGATTTAACTTAGCGAACATGTTAGATGTAACCATTATTATTTTTAATTTAAATAATTTTACACTTAGGGGATTAGAAATTTATCGAGATTCGTTCCTTTAACTATTTCTTTATATATATTTTTCAAAAACGAATAGTGTGTTGATAACAAATATGTATATATATATATATATATTACTAAGAAACTATTTCTCTCTTTTATTTATATCACATGTTAAGAAACACAAGGAATTAAATTAAGATAGAAATACTACGTTATACTACCTACGTTACGCAATACAAATGACAAATGTATTACGAAATGACTTCTGCACGCTGTTTTAACAACGTAAAATACGATGCTGCTGTGCTTAAAACCTGTAACAAAAAGAAAAAAGAAAAAAAAAAAACTGACGAATTAACTTCGATATTCAACACCATCCACTTTTGTTTGTTCATCAAATTTCTTTTCTTTTCGTTCGTTTGGACCGTATATTATAAATTTTTATTTACTACAACTATATTATTTGTTAAATTACAGATGTAACTGACCGAATTAAAATTTTTATTACTTACACTAGTATACGTTTCGAGGGACACCATGAAGAATCCTTTCCCGGTCAAGCAACAAGGTACGCTGGACCTCATGATGACCAGGATCAAATCTTTTCGTATCATCCTTCCACTTGTGGTCATTGATAACAATGGCCAAGGCCCCCCGTATGCCGCTGTTGCTACGTTCACACTTTTCCGTATGATACAGTCGCAGCTGTAGCTGAACATCAGTAATTGGCACAGACATCCCAATATGTGGAAGCTGAAGATTAAACGTGTTTTGACATCTCCATTCGCCTTTGAGAAGTAATATTATAATAATTAATATCTCTTTTATCCATTGAAAATTAATATAAATGAATTAAATAAAATAATTAATTAATTAATTACTAACCAAAAGTATTTGATATCCGTCGAGGCAAATTAGTAAGCTGAACATCAAAACTTGTTCTAGGACAATCAAATTGAATACCTGTTCAAGTTTTCTGCAATACGCTATAAGGGCTTGGTGTTGGCGAATACACTTCTTAAAAATGGCATAACATTTACTTGCAAGGTAGGACGAGTCCACGGTTAATTTCTCCCTTTTCTCTTCCTTCTCTTTATTCATCGAATCTATTATGTTTGAAATTCTATGTTGCAGCACTTGAAATTGTCCAGCCACGTGTAAATTCATAATGCACAAAAAATTGTCGAAACAGAAGTAACTCACCCCAATGTGGTACAAGGATAACGCCTGAATGAAAATTCTATTTTCTTATAATTTTTTGAAAAGTGTTATGAAATATCTATTATATTATTTCCAAAAAAAAATATGAAGAAAAATCTTAATTAATGTTGTGATTCTTATTTGATTTCGTAACGTAATGAGATAATAAACGGAGACGAAGTGACAATACCTGTAAAGTGTACGTAATTTCAAAATACGGAGTTACATTTAATGGTAAGTTAACCCACATGTTGAATGGAAGCATTCTGCTCGATTCGTTTTTCCCAATATTTTCTAAAATATAAATATATATGAAATATGAAAAAAAAGTTAAATCACAGATTCTTTTTTTTTGTTCTCACCAGATAGAAGTGAAAACTGTTAAGAAAAAAATATTTATATAATAAATATTATATAATAAATATTAAATAATTTCTATATAAATCCGCTCACCAATAAGTGGACTAAAGATGTAAGAAGCGACGGTCGCCATTGTAAGAAACGTGAAGAAACAAATGAAGAAGGTGCACTTCCGCTTGCAACCGAACACCACTTCTCTCTCGTAGTCGTCGTAATTCCCGTGCAGAAAGTTCCTTTGCATGTACGAGATCAAATGAAAAAAGTCTTTTTTGTGAGTAAGCAGAATGAATATCTTCAACAAGGGCATAGTTAACGACAGGATATTCGAGGTAGAGAAGAGGCAAGCCTGAAATTGAATCGAGATTAAAATTATATTTGTATCGAGCGATTCAGCTCGTCACTTACGCTAAAATCACCCCACGAGTAATATATATTCATGCTTTGTATCCACAGAGCGAAAAGAATTGCGATCAAGCTGTAAATAATCGTGATGTTTCTTATCCGTTTCTCGTGCCGGTTCGTCGCCATCCATAATCCAATGATCTTCATAAAAATTGACGTCAAGTTGACAGATATGTCGCTTTCGAGAAAACTCATGCTCGTTTTCGTTAATAAACTGGCCGGTACGTTCATACGTCGAACTATACCAGCGCGGAGTGCATATTGATTATCGAGGTGGAGGCGACCAGCCACTTTGATCTATTGGCATTCTCTGTTCATCGATCGTGTAATTTGTATTTATTTCATATTATTACCGGTCTTTTAATGGGAAGATGAAAAAGAGGAGAGGAGGCAAAGAGGATATATATATACGTTATTCTTCTTATTTAGTAAAAAATGAATTGTTATCGACGCGCTATGCATCATAATTCAGGAATTATAAAAACCCTCTGTGAAATCGTAGCGCTGTCGACAGCTGCGTCACTTTGATGGAGGAAATTGTAAATTCAGGAGATGACAATTTTTGTAATTTGCGGAAGATGAGGGGAAAAAGGTGGAGGGATATCTATCTGCAACGAAAGAATTTTTAGTGTTCACGAGACATTGATTTGTGACGTAATTCTACGGTCTTTCCTTGATCTGAACAGTAGGAAAAAAAAAAAAAAAATGGTGAAATTGTAAACTAAGGTATCGATTCTTATCTCTCTTCAACAATATTTATTTTAACAATAATTATATAGTTTTAACTGGTAGATTTCTTAAACATTTTTCTCATTCGGTCAACTGATTGAAAATTTGTGTTACTAATTACGTTTCGTCTGCGCTTCCTATATTGTTTCGCAACAGTGTGAAATACGATGCCGCGGTACTCAAAACCTGTAACAAAGTTAATCAATTTCAACATTTAAAATGATTATCACTATCAGATAGATTCTCCTTTCTTCTCGACTTTTGTTTATGAAAATTTCTTAAATTACAGATGAATCTGACGATTGAAAATTATTACACTGGTGTATGTTTCGAGAGAGACGATGAAGAATTTTCCTGTCAAGCAACAAGGTATGCTGGATCTCATAATGACCACTATCAAATCTTTTCGCATCATTTTTCCATTTGTAGTCATTGGTAGCAACGTCCAAGGCCCCCCATACGCTGCTGTAGCCACGTTCACGCTTTCTCGTATAATGCAATCGCAGCTGTAGCTGAACATCAGTAATTGGCACAGACATGCTAATACGTGCAAACTGAAGATTAAACGTGTTTTGATATCCCCATCTGCCTATGGAAAATAATTTATACCTCACTTTTCTTTGATATTTCGAATAAAATTAAAGATCAAATTTCGTTCCATTGTTTCATTTTCGTTATTCGAATGATGAAAAGTCAAGGATGATTATTAAAATTATCTAAAAATTATGAATCATAACACTACCATGAGTATTTGATATCCATCGAGGCAAATTAGTAAGCTGAACATCAAAACTTGCTCTAGGACAATCAAATTGAATACCGCTTCAAGTTTTCTGCAATACGTTATAAGGGTTTGATGTTGGCGGATACACTTCTTAAAGGTGGTGTAACATTTACTTGAAAAATACGACGAGTCCACAATTAATTTCTCCCTTTTCTCTTCCGTTTTAATTATCAAATCTGCTATGTTGGAAATTCTGTATTGCAACACTTTAAATTGTCCAGCCACGTGCAAATTCATAATGCACAGAAAGTTGTCGAAACAAAAGTAACTCACCCCGATTTGATATAGGGATAAAGTCTGTGTAAAAATTCGAAACTTCTTTTTTTTACAATTTTTGAAAAATATTATAAAATATCGATATTTAATAAAATACTTAATTAAATATCGGTTTATTAATTATTCTGTCTGTATTAGGGAACGAAATGGCAATACCTGTAATGTGAACGTAATTTCAAAATATGGAGTCATACTTAGTGGTAGGTTAACCCACATGTTGAATGGAAGCACTCTGTCCGACTCGTTTTTTCCAATATTTGCTGAAATGAAAATATAGATAAAAAAAAAAAAATGACGTTATAAACCGTGATTGCAAATCTTTTGTACTTTATTCTTAATAATTAGAATTATTTTAAGTTGTATTCACAAATATTATTAACACGTTCCTCACGGGGCCCAAATGTCGAAAACGGAATTAGCTTTAATATTTTTATTTTGTATATTTTAAAATAGTATACTTTTATATATTAGTTTTCATTAACTGCCTGTAACACCGATTCTAAATTAGTTGTTTTCAATGCCTCTTCTTCCACTTCTTTACTTCTTACTTCGTCCGGGGTTTCAGGGATTTTCAAAAAGTCAATCTTAAATATTCTGGTTTGAATATAAATTGGTCTCTAACTGGCTGTTCAACTTCAACCCTTCTACGTTACCACATGCATATAATTTTAGATTTAAAACTGTAAAAAAATGCAAAGTGGTAACGGATCATACTTGTCCCTCTTTTCTATTGTTCTTAAATTTCTAATTCTGTGATTCCAATGTATATTTTATATTTATATTTCAGAGCTTACTCCATTAAATTTCTTTTAAAATTCCGTTATCCTACATTTTATTATTATGCATACATTTAAATTAATAAATATATGTATTTACATTAATGAATATATATATATATATAACTTGATTGGTAACCTTCTTAAATACGAGTGCCAAGGATATTTTATTAAAATCTTATTTTTCTTGAACAAGAAGATATTTGGGGACGAACGTGTTAATTATAAAAAGTTTATCTACAATCACTCGGCAATAATAAGTTAAATAAATTTACACTCTTCAACGAGGGCAAAAAGATTATACTTGTTTCACTTAATCGGCTCACCAACGATTGGACTAGCGATGTAAGAAACAATAGTCGCCATTGTAAAAAACGTGAAGAAACAAATGAAGAAGGTGCACTTCCGCTTGCAACCGAACACCACTTCTCTCTCATAATCGTCGTAATTCCCGCGCAGAAAATTCCTTTGCATGTACACGATCAAACGGAAAAATTCTTCCTTGTGACTGAGCAGAATGAATATCTTCAACAACGGCAAAATCAACGAAAGCGTGTTCGAGGTGGAGAAAATGCAAGCCTGGTGAACAAGTCGAACAACACGAACAACAACCAAAATTAAAATTATTTGTATCGAGGAATCGGCTCGTTACTCACGCTCAAATTGCCCCACGAGTAGTATATATCCATAGTTTGTATCCACAGGGCGAAAAGAATGGCGACCACGTTGTACGTGATCATGGCGTTTCTCATCCGTTGCTCGTACTGGTTGGCCGCCATCCACAATCCAACGAGCTTCATAAAAATTGACGTCAGCCTGACAGATATGTCGCTTTCGAGAAAACCCATGTCGTTTTCACCAATAAAACTGGCCGGCGCGCTCGTGCATCGAGCTATACCGGAGTGCAGAACGCGTATATTGATTATCGAGGCGACCAGCCTCGACTTTGATCTATTGGCATTCATCGATCGTGTAATTTGTATTTTATTTCATATTATTACCGTTCGTATTATTACCGGTCGTTTAATGGGAAGATGAAAAAGAGATGGAAAGGAAAGGAAGGGAGGAAGTAAGAGGATATAGTATGGCGATAAGTTATTCCTCATTTAGTGAAAAATGGATCGTGTCGATGCGTTATGCATGAATCGGGGATTCATGCGAAACCCTCCCCGTGAAATCGTTTCTTGCCTCTTTGATGGAAGGAAAAATTAAAGAGATAATTTGTAGATGGTATAGGTTATAGGATATCGTCTATAACGATATAGAATTTTTAAACGTGCCATTTAGGATTAGCCGTTTCTTATGTAATTCGTCGCAAGTGAGTGTGTGTATATATATATATATTTCTTTCTTTTTTGTTTTTTATAAAAATCGTACATCATATATCCTCGAACAACGCCGAAAACAAGTTTTAATTTCGTAATTACAAACGAAGGTAACAATTTTTATCTTTTTTTTCCATTCTAAGAATCGCTTTGTATGTACAATTTTAACTGAGCGAATTGAAAATTCGTGTTCATTGATCGTTCTTATCATTTTCTACGTTATTTCGCAACAGTGTAAAGTAGGACACCGCGGTACTCAGGATCTGCGAGACAATTAATGAAAATGGTTTTATCAATTCGCCAATTGTAAACGTCACAACTTACCGTGGTATAGGTTTCCAAAGAGACGGGGAAAAATCCGTTCGCCGTGAGACAACAAACGCGTCTCGAACGCTCCATCACCATTATCAGATCTTTTCGAATCATCCTCCCAAATTTGTCCATCGGCAAAATCGTCCACAGTGCCGAGTACGCCTCTACTGCGACGTTGTCGCTTTGCTCTATCACACCGTCGCAGCTGTACGTGAACATGAACAGCAGAGACATGGCGCCGATCAGAAGAAAGATGAAAATGGAACGTCTCGCGGAGGGAGCGTTAGCCTGAGAGAGAAATAAATGTGCATTTATTTTCCAATCCATCTCGCGAATATAATTACGTCTCTAACGATATTTCTTCACGCGCTTATTAAAATAAAATTTGCTTCGTTTCATTCCATTTCAAAATAATTGTGAACATACAATTTTCATTTTAATACTTCTATCGAATTAAACGAACCAGCAACACTTGATAGCAAAACAGGCAGATCAACACGCTGAATAATATCACTTGGCCGAGTATAATCATCGTGTACACGTTTTCAAGCTTGGTGTAAAAGTTGATCAGGGCCTGATGGTATCGAACGTGCTCCTTAAATTTCTCGTAACACGTGTGCACGCGCTTCGCCAGCCCAGATTCCGCACCTTTCTCGCATATTTCTGTGTCGCACAGTTTCGTAAATCTGTAGCCGAGTATGCGAAATTGGCCGGTCAAATGGATGGCCATGATGCAGAAAACGTTGTCGAAGCAAAAGTAACAGATCCCTATGCAATACAATGTTACTATCTGTGGAAAGAAATAATAAAAAAAAAAAAAAAATGAATGTTTCAGTTTCGAACCGATATTAATATATACGACGATTTTTAATAAGTAAATAATTCATTTTAATCTCCTTTGTATTTTCAAGCAAATGTTAAGACGTTTATCGCGTGATCAAAGTGTTTAAGAAAATTTAAAATACCTGGATAATGAACGATAACTCGTAATAAGGGGTCTGCGAAAGTGGCAAATTCAGCCACATATTAAATGGAAGTATTCTTTCGGATTCGTTGTTTCCAATACGAGCTGAAACAAATACGATCCTATATATTCTTGCGTTCAAATATTTTCACGCAATATCTCGAACGAACGAGAATATTAGAACGTTTCGAAACGAACGGAAAAGGATGAAAATTGAAGGAATTGCAAGCAATTTTTCTTTGCCTGTACAGAAATGATCCAAAATTCTACAAGCAAACTAGTAAAATATTTTAAAAGTACCTGTAAACGGTGTCGTTAGATACGATAGTATAGCGCATATACCGATAAAAGTGACGGAGGAAACGAAAAAGGCGCAAGTCTTTTTGCAACTGTTCAAAATCTCCTTCTCGCGAGAATCGTAGTTGACGTTCCAGAAATATTGTTGCATGTGCACGATCAGATTAATAAATTCACCTTTATGCACCACTATGACGCATATTTTCAGTAAGATCATCATCACGCTCGTGTAGTTGGTGAGGGCGTAAAGAATGTCCTGGAATGAAATGTAACAGAAAATTGAGACAAACGAAACAACTGTGTTAAAATAAGTTCCGAACTGCGCATCTTCCCTTCTCCAAAACCAATTTCGTACACGCTTACTGTAACTGTGTCAGTGATTTCATTACAAATATAATACCACCCGTACGCCATTGTAAATCCAAGTGAAGTACAAATCTCTGCTGGTGATCACGGTGGAGAAGAAGGTGCACCAAACCGTGTAGGCGAGCATCCCCTTTCTTCGACGTTCATCCGTGGAGTCGTCAGCTATCCACAGCCCTATGCTCTTCAAGAAAAATGATGACAAATTCACGGATATATCCAATTCTTTTTCCATTTTCGACCAAACTGTCGACCAAACCTTGCCACACAAACAGTAATAACAGGATTATCGATCCTTTGTCCCTCGCTTTTCTTTCTCGCGAAACGAACTGATTGCCACCTTTCAAGAGGATTGATTGCACGATTGATGGATTTCCTTTGCATTATTCACACGCGTATCACGTGGATTAAACGCTTGGTGAACTCTACGATCTTTCGAACTGTGTATAGTCGAATGGTGAACATCGTTCGAAGAATATGGAACGTTATTGGTGAAGTATAGTATTATGATTTTGTTACAAAGGATGGAGAGAAGAGGTGAAAAAGAGGTAAATAAGCATTGGATAATTATGAATGAGTCGGTGCGAGTGAATAATGGTAAGAGTTTAAGTAAGAATAATTATTACAATCCTGTTAATTATTAATTGTTAATCATCTGTAATGAAAATATTATCGCTCGTACATTTAACGTAATGCAATATATTCACAATTTTTTTAAAACACTACTGATACTTTTTCTCTAATACCTTATAGTCGATACAACAAAAAAATTTACAAATATGCCTCGTTTGCCTTCTCCACGTTGTTTCTTAATAGCGTGAAATATGATACCGCGGTACTCAAAATCTGCAAAACGTGAAGAATTCACTTAAATATCATTAGTACAATTACTTAATCCATAAACAACGAAAACAAAACAAAGAAAAATTAAAAGATCCGCTTTTTTGAAATTTTGAATCAGATCTCGAAAAAACTCGAAAAACTCTGAAGACGAACAACAATTTTCCTTCCTTTTCTAAATTTTTAACAAATTCCGATAATTCTTAAGCCACTTAACTCATTATTTTCTTCTTGGAAGAGATTAAATTTAACATTTAAATTATTGTTATTTAATTATTTCGAGAACACGAAATCGTTTCAACACTTGCCTCGTTAAGCATTATAATTACTACTCACCGTAGTGTACGTTTCCAAAGACACGGGGAAAAATCCATTCGCGGTCAGACAGCAAACGCGTCTCGAACGCTCCATCACCATTATCAGATCTTTTCGAAGCATTCTCCCAAATTTGTTCATTGGCATAATCGTCCACATCATTGCGTATGCTCCTACAGCGACGTTATCACTGTGCTCTATCACGCCGTTGCAGCTGAACGTGAACATGAACAGCAGAGACATGGCCCCGATCAGAAGAAAGATGAAAATGGCACGTCTCGCGGAAGGAGCGTTAGCCTGAGAGAGAGAGAGAGAGAGAGAGAGAGAGAGAACAATACTCGAAAATTATGCAAATATTTTATTTTGCGTGAAATGGAGAGAGTAATATAATATTAGAAGCTTCCACGGTATAATTTCCTTTCTTCTATACAATATATATAAAATACGTATTTATTTATTAAAGAAAACTTTTTCAATATTTTAATTTTTTTTTTACTTTTAAATTTTACAACAACACGTGAAATACTAACCAATAATATTTGATAACCAAAGAGGCAGATCAACACGCTAAACACCAACACTTGTCCAAGTATAATCATCGTGTACACGTTCTCAATTTTCTCGCAATAATCGATCAACGTCTGATGGTATCGAACGTACGCTTTAAATCTCTCGTAAAATCTCTGCGCTTGCACGAACAGCGTTGATCCCGTGTCTTTCTCGGATATTTGATCCTCCACGTTGCACAATTTCGCGAATCTGTATCGAAGTATTTGGAACTGGCCAGCCAGGTGTACGGTCATAATGCAGAAAATATTATCGAAGCAAAAATACGATATTCCGATGAAGTAGAAGGTCATTATCTGTTGGAAAGCGAGAATTTGTCTCTTTTCTTGTAATTAAAAGTTAGAAATTATAGTTGGAGTTATTAATCAGAGCTAATTGTTTAAAAGAAAAGAAATTTAAAATTTACCTGGTAAACGAACATTATTTCGTAGTAAGGCGATTCCGATAGTGGTAATTTTAACCACATGTTAAATGGAAGCATTCTTTCGGAATTATTGCTCACAGTTTGCACTGAAAACCGTATAATTTATTTTATTCTACATTTTTCCTTCTATTTGCTCTTTACAAAATATCATAGGTAAATTTCAAAGATTTAGAAAAAAAGAATCGCCTAATCGTTTCGATCGATATTTCTGCTTGATGATATTTCACCTTACCAATGAGCGGTGTGGCCAGGTAGGACAGTATAGCACATATGCCAATCGTTGTGACCAAGGAGACGAAGAAAGCGCAAGTTCTTTTGCAATTTTCAAAAATTTCCTTCTCGCGAAAGTCATAGTAGTTGTCGTTCCAGAAATTTTCTTGCATGTACACGATCAGATTGATAAATTCCTCTTTGCGTATTACTATCATGCATATCTTCACCGTTATCATCATCATGCTTAAAGCATTGGTGACAACGTAGAGAATGTCCTGGGAACACAAGTGAGCGCAGCACACAGTTGAATGAAACGATACATTTTCTCGTAAAATCGAGAAAATTGTCTTATTTGTTCTACTTTTCAATAATGTTATCGTCAAATCATATACCCACTCCATCGTAAAACCACGTGAAATACACGTCTCTGCCAATTACAACCGAGCTAAGCATAATGCACCAGATCGTGTAAACAAGTATCACTTTTCTTCGACGTTCGTACGCAGGATCGTCCGATATCCACAGACCGATGTTCTTTAAGAAAAAGGCTGCCAAGTTCACCGACACGTCCGGTTCAACCTGCATGCTGACCCTCAACCTCGATCTTCTATTAAAACGCGTGTCTCCGCTACGAGACTTTCTCATAATAATAATAATAACAGGTGTCGCTTTGACGCGTCAATTTTTCGTCTTTCATCCCATGCAAGTAACGGTGATGGAAAGGTAATTGCCACCTTTCGATTCGAAAATAGAGGCAGAGTGAACAGGTCGATCGATAAACTTCGATTGTTGATGGACGTTTGTTTGCATTATTTAGGGGGGGATGGATTTATGCGTGGATGCTTTGAATACAGTTCGAAAACGTAGTTGTTGTGAGTTAAAACATTGTTCAGGGTGAAATTACAATGTTTTATGGTTATAAAAGGAATTAAATTTATAGGTAATTAAATTTATTTGCTTCTTTGTTTTATGAGCAGAGGATGAATTATATTGGTGTGTGTGTGTGTGTGTGTAATAATTAGATATAAAATAATTCGTAAATAGCAGGGCTATATGAATTAGGAAATTTAAAAAGGTTTTTTTTATCTAACATCAGATCAGTTATAAAACGTAGAATATTATTTTTAACCAACGTACTCAACGTTTTTTATTCGTTCCATTTTTTTCCCTCTAAAAGATAAATATATTGAATTGAATTTGAAAAATATATTTTTTCAAAATTTACGACTTTGTCTCGAAGTTGTGTTTAAGTTGATTGATTTCTCAACAGTGTAAAGTACGATACCGAGGTACTCAGAATCTGTAAAGGATAAATAGACAATTTAGATTTTTTCGTATAATTTTTATATTATTTTCCTAATTAAATCTGATATAATAATAATAACTTTTGCATCAGAATGTTTCGTAGACATAATTATTACTTACTAACTCGTTGGATAATTTTTACACGTTTATTATTCACGAATATTTCTTCGAATTTATTATATTACAAGGATCGACGTTTCATAATCATGTATCTCTACAAATCATATAAAAATTTTATTTATTACTATAATATATGGTTTGAATAATTTTTGTTCCAAATGTTTACTTACTTTAGAAATTTTTTAAATATTTTGCACAATTTTTGAAATTTTCTTCTTGCAAAATTAAATCACATTAGATATTGCTACTTTGATGATGATAAAAAATTGTTCTACTTTCCTCTCCTTTGAGGGATTGATTTGCGTACTGCAATAATTTCTTTTCATATTTTTTCAATGACATAAACCATGAAACTGCAACACTCAAGATCTACACTCAAGATTGTGACGATTTCTTATATTTTTTTTAATGAAGAAATTCTTAAAGTATTTGAAATCCTTAAAATTTCAAATTATCATTTTTAAATACAAAAGTTCAAGCTTTATGTAAGGAATATGTGTTTTGATAGTAAAAAGCAATATTTTTCAAACTAATTAAATAAAATTTATATAACAAGTACTCGAAAAACAAGAATAATAAAATTAATAAAATTAATGCTTTGTAAAATACAACAATTAATATTATTATATCAGATATCAGTAAATTATATGTAAATATTCTTCACATCACATTAAAATATATTATTTTATTAAAAAACGTACTTAAAAACAGAAAGAAAATAATTTAAAAGACAATCGAAAAAAATAAAATATTATCGAAAGTCGAAATCATGATTCCTTTAGAATCATGATTCTAAATTTATCATTATTCAAAACTACCACACTAGTTAGAAATCATTGATATAGATAAATAAGTTTAATATTCGCATTTTATCTTCTGTTTATGGAATCTATTTTTTTTTCAAGATCTTTAATTTTAAGAATATACCTCAATAAAGAGAAAAATTACTTACCCCAGTGTACGTCTCCAACGAGACGGGGAAAAATCCACAAGCGGTGAGGCAACACGGTGATCTAGATCTCATGATGACGAACATAAGATCTTTTCGTAATAATTTTCCATATTTATCCATGGGCAAATACGACCACAAGCTGTTGTAAACGGCGTTGGCCACGTTCGTACTGTCACGTATTAAACAATCGCAACTATACGTGAACATGAGTAGTTGACACATGCAACCCATTAAATGAAATGTGAAGATAACACGTTTCGCACGAGAAGTATCTTCCTATAGAAATTGCATTACGGATACCTATCATTATTAGGTAATGTTAATATTTTTAATGTTTAAATTAAATCAAAAATTAAAAATAATAATCGTCAAAAGAGTCGGTTTTTGAGACGATATGGGAAAAAGATCGATAATAATATGGATGAATCGGGCAGATTTTACTAACCATTAGTACCAAATATCCGTCAAGGCAAATTAACAAGCTGAAAAGCAACACTTGTGCCAATACGATTACACTGAATACATCCTCCAATTTTTTGCAATATTCGATGAGCGCTTGATGCTGTTGAACGCAAGTTTTAAACGATTTATACTCGTACATACAGTACGATGATTTCGAAACTTTATGATAATTGTTGCCACCATTTTTCCCGCATATATTTTCAAATCTATATCGCAAAATGCGAAACTGACCAGCGGTGTACAGATTTATTACGAATAGAAGATTGTCGAAGCAGTGGTAACATATGCCAACATTATATGCACTCAGAACCTATGGAAATATAAAGTATGACATATTCTATTACTATATTGCGGATATTCATGTAAATGCGCGTTTCTTTATCTTAAATATCTTATCTGAAATAATTTCGAAGATAATAATATTTGGTCAACGAATCGAAGATTATTATAGAAGCGCGAAATCTTACTCTTTGATTCCCAAAATATCTTATAAAGCAAAAATAATTTTTAATCGCACATCTCTAAACTCTATTAAACTCTGTTAAAATTAGAAAAAGTTTGAACCGTTATAACTCTAAAGATAGTGATCTTCGATCGACGAATCGAGAATCGTTAGAAGCGAAGAATCTTGCTCTTTAAAATGCTTTTTGATTTATCTCGATACGATTTCCGGTTCCCAAGATATCGCGGTGTAAAGAAGAGGTTAGTTTTCGATGACTTACGTTGAATTATCGCTACCTTAGAAATTCGATTAAAATTAGAAAAACTTTAAATCGTTATAACTTCACAAACAATAGTCCTAGATCGATGATCGAAAAATGATTAGAAGCGCAGAATCTTCCACTTTAAAATGCTTTTTGATTTGTCCCGATACGATTTCCCGTTCCCGAGATATCATCGTGTAAATAAAAGAGTAATTTTAATCGTTTACTACCTTTTTTCTTGCCTCTTACTCGGCTCTCTCGCTCGCACCTATCTCTCTCAAACTTCGAGCAAGCGATAAACGCAATTCCTGGAAAAGTATAGCACGCATTTCCAGGAAAAATATGTATACCATTGTGCAACCAAGCCCATTCATAATCTCTGCACTGTTTTAAGCGGAAAATTTAAGTTCTCGTATCTCGGCAACGCAATGAGATATCGAAATGAATCAAAAAGTATGATTTCAATGATACGATTTCTTCTATTTCTTGGTGGAAATAATATTTAATTTCCTCTTTTTTGTTACGTGACAACAAGTTTCATATCTGATTTTACGTGAATGTAATAATATAAAATAGTGATAGTAATTTGGCATGCATATCAATTGAATAGATTTTCTTTAATTTAACGAAGGATTTTTATCTATCTAGTTAAAACTTTTTAATAAGAATTCAATGAGAATTTATTTACTACCTGTATCGTATATATTATTTCGTAATAGGGCGACAGTGATAGTGATCGATCGAACCACATATTAAACGGATGTATTCTGTCCGATTCATTTTTTCCATTATTTACTAGAAAATATATTAACAGATTATTTTTTTCTTTTCATTCGTTCGTTTTTAAATTACGATAGAATTTTATTACACAGAAAAAAATTCATCGTTATTTTAAATTTTAACATTAACAATTCTAGGATAAAATTTCGTGCAATTATTGTGCAAATTAGTCTCACCAAAAACTGGTGTTATTAAGAAACACACAACTGTTCCTTGAGCGAAGAATGTGAATGAACAGACGAGAAAAGAACAAAGGCGTTTATAGTCATCTATGATCTTTTTCTCGTGCGTATCGTAATTCGTTTCGTGCCAAAAATTCGTTTTCGCGTAATTAACTACGTTAAGCAGTTCCTCGTTATTTATGTACAAGATAAAAATCTTCACCAAAACTAAAAGGAGAGTTATAACGTTGCATCCAGCGAAAATAGAATCCTGCAATCGAAAAATCATCTTTAAAGTTATTATTTGTTACTCGAAATTTATATCTATAATTATTAATAAATCGGAAGAAACGTAGAATAATTAATCGTTAAATAAGAAATTTATCGAGACCCATATTTTCATTATTTTTAAGAAGAAACAAAATTGTCTAACAAAATTTTATTTTTAAAAAGACACAATCATGACGCGTATGAAAAAATAATAAAATTAAAAATATATGAAATGTAATTTTTTAAAAAAAATTTAGTTTAAATATTGGATAAGAGTTTACTTTATAAAAAGAATAATTTGCAAAATTATCAATTAAGATTACGAAACAAAAAATAGTAACTACTCACCTCGAAATCTCCCCAAACGAAGTATAAATCCCTTGCCTCGATTGTGATGGCTATGAACACGAAAAAGATCGTGATACACATGGCAACGTTCCTCCAACGTTTCTCCACGTAATTATTCGCCACCCAAAATCCAACGATTTTCATGTAAAAGGCGGTGACGACGATCGATACATTTCTAACTTTCCTCGCGCTCATTCTCGAAACGAATCCTCAAACTTCTCCTCTCGATCTTCGAACTCCTCCTAGAGTTCTTCGATTGCTCGTCATCCATACCAAGTTGTGATTGATCGCCACTCCTCTTGCACTCTATTTTATGGACAACTGATTATTTTCAACGTCATTGTAATTGACGCCCTCTTACTGCGCGAAGAGAAGAAAGAGAGTGTCAGACGGATGAATTATTCACGATCCTCGAGGGGAAGGGTGCAAGCATGACGACGATGCATCTGCGACAGTTTAGTATATTCGTTCGAAGAATATAGCGCGCATATAATTCGACAGTACACGACAAATCGTTTTTAATATTTTTTCTTAATGTTCCTGAGATTGTATCTTACGATCAGTGTCAGATATTCATCGATTCTAATATTTCGACACGATTTATTTACAGTTTAAGGCGTGTTCCAGAAATTATTGTTAAGAATACAGGGTGATGCGAGTGCAACAATTATACTTTTTGAAGAACACGTTGCATTTTCCAATCTCAAGTGAAGAAACAGTTTGTAAGTGGCACAATCTCTCAGTCTAGAATTCTAGAAATTTTTCTTGAGTGCTGCTCAATCAAGAGATTTGAACCTTTAGAACATCGTTCAATGATAACTTTCATAAACTTTCATATTAACTCTTGCAATACATAGGTGACGATATATAGATTTCTTCTTATGTTTCTCTAAAAAATAAACTAAATTCGAAATTTATCATAGGAAAATAATGATTTAGAAACATGAGATTTAAATATTGTAATAATATTGAAGGGAGATTCTGTGAAACAAAAAGATAAGAAGAATGGAATATTTCATAATTATTGAACAATTTTTCTATTTGATTTGCAAAACACAATCATTATATCATGTTTTTATATCTATATCTTTATCACATTTGCATGCATGCATTCTACGATCGGCAATCTCAATTGGCAAAGGATTGCCTCATTAAAGTGAAGTACGACATCGCGGTACTCAGCACCTGTAATAAAAGACATGTCATCTAATTTTAATATTTTCGAAGTTAAACGTTTAATAAAAAGGATATTAATTGTATTTAATTGGAAATCATCATTTCCAATGTTACTTTTCTTTTCTTTTTTTTCTTTGATCGATAATCGAATTACGAATCACTAACCGTGGTACAAGTTTCCAGGGAGACGGGGAAGAATCTGCTTGCTGTCAAACAGCAGGGCTTCCTCGATCTTATTATAACCATTTTCAGGTCTCTTCTCAGTGTTCTCCCCGTCCTGTTCATTGGCAGGCATATCCAAGGGCCGGAGTACACCGCGCTCCCGACATTCGTACTTTCTTGTATCAGAGAGTCGCAGCTGTACGTGAACAGCAACAATTGGCACAGGCTGCCCGTTATGTGGAACACGAAAATGAGCCGCCTTGTTGGAGGTGAATTTGCCTGTTTAATGCAGATACAAATTAAATATGATTTTACAATTTTACACCATTAATTTCCAATTTTCAAATCATGATTACCTTATAAGAACGTATCAGATAATAATTGTTAATTACAGAAACTTAAAACTAAGTAACGAAACTATAAAAATAACGAGTGAAATGTATTTTTCTTTGTTTCAGTGGTATATACCTGTTTCTGCCTATAATTTTAATAATTTTTCTTAATACAGGAAAGAAGAAATAAATGGCAAATAATGAGTTAAAGAAAAGAGATACGCACCATAAGTACCTGGAAACCGACCAGACACATCAACAAGCTAAACACGAGTATGTGGCCAAGCACAATGATCGTGAATATATCGTTCAGCCTTTGGCAATAAGTGATTCGATCCTGATGCTGCTTCACGCACAACTTGAACGTAGCGTAACAATTTTCAATGCAACTTGACCACCGACTCGTATCCCTGTTGTCAAATGCCCGCCCTCCTGTGTCCCACCCGCTACTACCAAGACTCGATAATCTGTGCTGCAAGATACGAAACTGCGTGGCCGCGTGCAGATTCATCAGGCACAACAGGTTGTCGAAGCAGATGTAACATACACCGACGTGATACAGAGAAAGTACCTGGAGACAAGAAATTTCATCACATTTCATAAAAATCTTTCGTTGAATCTTTCCATGGATAATTTAATTCAAAGAATAACACATAAAGGAACTAAATGACTCGACGAACGATTTATTGAGAAGAATTTAGAAAAAGATTGATTCCTTTATTTATTTTCCGATTCGGATGTTATTGGGATTTCTTTTCAATTCGTTACTCGCTCGTTTTATTAGAAATTTACGTATGTACCTGAAGCACGAATAATATTTCATAGTACGGTGATACGGATAGCTTAGGTAGGTCAACCCACATATTAAATGGAAGAACTCTATCTGAATGGTTTCTTCCGATATTTTCTAAAAAAATGCAAACACGCGATTCTGTGTATTAATCATCTCATCACTGGTTAAATTCTAAGCTACTATCTACTCTCTTTTTTTTTTGTAATTTATAAAATATCGAGCAATTACCTCTCTCTTTTTTTCACTTCAATTTTTTCTATTCCACGAATATTTAATCGCAATCGTAATAAATATTCGGATCTCGTTTAAAGATGTTGTTATTTGGAACAATTTGAGAAGAAACTCACCTACGATAGGCGTTAACACGTAGCTGACGATCGTTCCTTGGGCGCATACGTTGATCAAAGTGATGCACAACATGCAAATTCTCTTGCATTTTTCTACCAATAACAGCTCGTTATACGTATAATTGGTGTGCCAAAAGTGTTCGTGCGTGTACACGAGAAGATCGATGAATTCTTTTCTATGCACAAACAGGACGAACAACTTTAACAACACCATGATCAGGCACAGAATGTTGCAAGCTGTATAAGCGCAGTTCTTAAAAAATAATATCGACATCGTATATTTTCTCTTCTCCAAAAAGATTCGATCAAAATCAATAATTAAATCCACCGAAAATTTTAAATCTGTATTCTTATAATTGCTTTCTCGCTCTAGGTCAGAATCGTCAGCCTAGAATTATCGTAAGTTTCGAGATAAAAATTACTTACACCGAAGTTTGGCCACGAGTAATAAAAATCCCTGAACTGGACCCAAACACCGAACAAAATCGCGACCACCGTGTACATCAAGGTTAAATGGCGTCTGCGTTGTTCCTCCTTGCTTTCGGCCAACCAAAGGCCGACGATTTTCATTAAAAATGCCGTCATCAACAAGGCGAAATCTTTGCCACGCGACGACGAGTCTCTCGCGACACCAACAACTCTCGTCTCTTTCGAAACTTCCCCCATTTTTCTTTTCTTTTCCTTTCCTTCCTCGAGAAGGTGTTACTTCGTAATGCGAGGCATCGTCCATTGACATTGACAAGTATCCATTGCATTGTTCTCTCTCTTTCTTTTTCTTCTAATCTCAGGGATAGGACGTGCATAATTGAACGCGAACGACAGACGCGTGACACCGACTTGGAGACCAGTCGATGCGACGAGTGACGTGTGAACGTACACCACGCGATTGGAATTGTATCGATTTTTAGTTTTTAATAACAGTAGTCGGATACTGGAATTTTTATTTATATCGTGAACGTTATACTTCGTACCGTTCGTTTCGAATTAATTTGTGAATCGAGAGAAGAAGTCTATCTGAAAAATTTCGAAGAAATTGTTTTGAGAAAAGGATTGAAATTTTAAAAAATTTTAAGCTTGGTAAGAAATGAATCTTTCATTGATTACTTCTTTCTCTCTTACTGTTTTATTCAATGTTAATGGATATAAAGAACCTGTTAAATCAAGCATCATTTCTAGTAATTAATTTAATGGAAAATTTTATTAATAGTTATTCATAAAGAAATATATTCGTGTGGTATGGTGAATTATTTATCCTTGGATGATTCCCTCATCAGGGTGAAATACGACAATGTGGAACTCATAAGCTGCAACAAGAATTTGACGAGTCATTTTAATTTATTATCTTTTACGAAAAAATTTACGTTTCTTATGTACATATGCACGTATATAATATTGAAATAATGGAATATTGAAATAAAAAATTTTAAATAAACTCGAAGGAAAATTAATACGTAAAATATTATTAATTTACTGGAATATAAATAAATTACTGATAATAATTTGCGTAATAAAATTAAACACTTTGGAAAAAAATATAATATTCGCAGGAAATCGAAGGGGTGGCGTACCGCGGTGGACGTCTCCAAGGACACAGGAAAGAAGCCACCAGCGGACAGATAGCACGGCCGCATGGACTTCATTATCATCACCTTCACGTCCTCCCGCAGCATTCGTCCGGCCTCGTCCATTGGCAGCACGGTCCACCACCCCGAATACGTGGCCAACCCGATATTCGAACTCTCCTCTATCAATCCGCCACAGATATACGTGAAGAAGATTATGTGGATAAAGCTGCCGACCATGTGGAAAAAGAAAATGAGGCGCATCGAAACCGGTACGTTTGCCTGTGTGTGAACAGCACGCAACAATCATCATATTTAACGCGAATAAATCGAGGCATAAAACATTTGCGATCGAATTTAAGCAATTTACGAGACGACGAAAATTCAAAATTAAATTATAATAATTTCATTATTAAAAATTACTCGCACTTGCCAGAAATATCTCGTACGTGTCGAAGCACATTAGCAAGCTGAAAACCACAACATGGCCGAAGATCGGTAACGTGTAGACGTACTCGAGCTTGTCGCAGAATTCGATCAACGATTGATGCTGTCGTACGCACTCTTTCAACGCCTCGTAACACTTGCCCGCGTAATTGATTTTAACCGCCCCCTCGTCGATTATCGACCACAGCTTCGACAATCTGTGCTGGAGTATACGAAATTGGCAGACCACGTGCATGTTCAACACGCATAAGAAGTTGTCGTTGCACGTGTAAGCGATACCGATTTGTTGCACTGTAAGCAACTAAATATCAAAGGCGTTTAAACACCTTTCTTTTCCTAGCTTTTAAAGCGTGTATAATCGTGGACTAAAATTATTTTTAGTCGAATGATTGTTCCTCGATGAATGAAAAATACGATATCACCGTATATTTAAAAGTTACTTTGAAAAGTGATACCTGGACGACGAACATTATCTCGTAATATGGCGTCTCGCTTAATGGCAAGTCGATCCACATTTTGAACGGAAGTACCCTGTCTGACTTGTTTCTCCCGATGTTCGCTGAAAAACGCAGAGGCACGAATTTTTCTATTCGATGAACGATAATTTTCACCCGTGTCTTTCAAAAATTCAATCGAACTTTATAACATTTGTTTAACACGTTCGTGTGTCAGTGTGATTCGGTCGAGTCGAAATTTCGTATATTTTGTAATAAATTTTTAATATAAATTTGGGGTATACTTATATAGTTTTTATTCTCAAGGTCTCTACTCCGTTTCAACCGTTCAGAGACTTTCCAAAAGTCAATCTTAAATATTCTGAGTTTGAATATAAATTTGCCTCTAGTTCCTATAATTTTACATTTACTAATGTATAAAATATAATATAATTACATTCTAGGGACTTTTGTTGCTTGATTGGTACAACCAATCTTAAGTACAAATTAAATACGAGCGCAAAGGGTTAAAATCTTATTTTTCTTGAACAAGAAGACCCAAACATGGCGACGAACGTGTTAAAGTAATTATTATAAACGATACCCTTTTATTAATATTTTTAATTCTTATCATCGAATTATTGACGATTAATCTTCAATACTAACTAAATATTGAATGTATTTGTTCACTTACCACAGATCGGCGTGATTATATAGAAAGTCAAAGAGGCCTGCGTGAACGAGAACACGGTCAAGGTCCACAACGTGCAAAATTTCCGGCACTTCGTGAAAAGCATCCTCTCGTGACGATCGTAGTCGAAGTGCCAGAAATTCTGCCGGGCGAGTAAAATTAAATTCTTGAATTCCGTTCTACGAACGAACAATATCAAACACTTGAACATCGCCAGCATGATGCACAATGTATTGCAAGTCAAGAAGATGCAATGCTGAAAAGAAATTATTATTCGCGTTCTTTCTTCGATCCAACACCCTCTAGAAACTAAAATAGAACCACCGTTGTCGAGGATTAAAGGAAACGAGGACAAGAAAAGGTCGAGAAATCGTTTCATCATTCGTTGCTTTTCTACAATTCTTAATTCCCTTTCAATACGTACGCTTAAATCGTCCCAACTGTGATAAATGTCACCGATATTCAGATACAAGCCGTAGATCTGGATGACGAAGGTGTACGCCATAGCGATCCTCCTTCGACGTTTCTCACCGTCGTTCGCAGTCATCCATACACCAGTGAGTTTCAACAGAAACTGCGACACATCGATGGAAACATCCGAGTACGGTGTCGCGTGCATAATAACGACGATTCCTTCTCTTCTTCCTTTCTTCTTCTTTTCCACCCTTTCCCTCGAATCTCTTTTCCTTTTCTTTTCTTTTTTTTTTTTTCTAAGTCACGCGACAGATTCGACACGAATTCAAAAAGTTGCGGGCGAGTTGTGGGATTCGAGTTGACACCGCTTTGATGTGACGAGACACTCCATCATTAGATTAGGTGGTGAAATGAATAGGTGCCAGGGGAGGAAGATGCGGGAACGTTTCATCGATTTGTGACATGCATGATTCAAAGGTAGGCGTCGCGCGATTGTCACACCTATCGTTTGCCGATACACCAGTTTGTTATCGATCGTTTCGAAAAGTACACTAGTCATTCTGCGAATGACTGCTTCGAGAGGTATATATGTATGTGTGTGCGTGTGTGTAATTCTGTCCGATCTCTGTGGAATCGTCGTGTAACGAGGTAAATGTCCATTTCATTTTTTCGAAATTTATGCAAAGGAACGAGATATTATTGAAAAGTGTAAGAGAGAAGTTTCTTCGTTTAACCTGTGATTTCTTCTGGAAAAGAAAACGCAAACTCTTATGCGTCCTGTAAACGAAAAATAGACCATGAATTTATATAATCTCTTTCGTTTCATTTTTGAACGATTAACTGTTATATTTGATCATCACGTAGAAAAAGATACTTTTAAGAATAAAACTTGTTTTATTCCGTTCTCTCTTCAACATGGAAACATTGATTTTTCAACTTATTTACACATCTATTGTTGCTTGCTCCGCGTGTTGATTCCTCAGCAGGGTGAAGTAGGATACAGCCGTGCTCAGAATCTAAATGATAAATCATCGTCGAATCAAGTTTCGACAAGTTCTGAAAACAATTGATCTTTTATCTTGTTGTAAAACTCACGCTGGTGTACGTCTCGAGCGAGACAGGGAAGAATCCCAAGGCGGTGAGGTAACACGGTGATTTCGACCTCATGATAACGAGTATCAAGTCTTTTCGTAACATTTTCCCGTATTTGTCCATCGGCATGAACGACCATAAACTGTTGTACGTAGCGTTGGCCACGTTCGTACTGTCACGTATCAAGCAATCGCAACTATACGTGAACATCAATAGTTGGCACATGCAAGCCGTTAAATGAAACGTGAAAATTAGACGACTCATGAGAGAGGTATCTTCCTGCGAGGGATTACATTAAAATTTATACACGAAATTTAAAATAAAATTGGCTCGACGAAAATATTATCGGGAATATTGAAGTCCAATATTTAAGTATTTTATAAAATTACGAAAAAGAAAAGGAAAATTATAGTGGAATATATATAAACCATATATACTGACCATAAGTATTAAATATCCGTCGAGGCATATTAACAAGCTGAAAAGCAACACTTGTCCAAATATTATGAGATTCGATACTATCTCGAGTTTTCTGCAATATTCGATAAGCGTTTGATGTTGTCGAATGTAAGTTTTCAGCTTGGCGTATTTGCATACGCTGTACGGTGATTTTTCCGAAAGTTGGCAACAACACTTTTCGTTGCATTTTTCGTTGCACACGTTTGAAAATCGATGTTGCAATATGCGAAACTGACCGGCAATGTGCAGGTTTATTATACACATAAAATTGTCGAAATAGAGGTAGCATACGCCAACGTGATACAAAGACAATATCTATTGGATAAAATATTAATTTATTCGGTTTCCCTTTTTTCAGTTGGATTTCAATTCGAAAGATTTAGAACATCAGAACAATATCAACTGTACTCTTTCCCTACAATATTAGTTTTATTAAGAAAATTATATATCTTAATACCTCCATGATAAACACCATTTCAAAGTAAGGTGTCGTGTACCATGATTCACCGAGCCACAAATTAAATGGATGTATTCTCTCCGTTTCATTTTTCCCTACATTTTCTAAAAGATAAATTAACACATATATTTTTTCTTTTCCCTTACTTTTGCACCTTTGCGTGCATTATACGTATAACTGCAACAATTTTTATCAAAATTACTCATAACTTGGAATCGTTTCACGCTTTTTATTACAATCGGAGCAGAAGTTGAAATTTATCATTCAGTATAAATTCGCCCCTACCTTTAAGCGGCCTTATTACGAAAGAGACGACTGTCCCTTGAGAGAAGAAGGTGAAAATGCAAACGAAGAAGGTGGAGTAACGCTTGCAGGTGTTCACAATTATTTGCTCGTGCATGTCGTACTTTAAATTCCAAAAGTTCGTTTTCGCGTATTGTATTATCTTGAGCAGCTCGCTTTTGTACACCAACGAAATGGAAATCTTGAATAGAACCAGAATCACCGTTACGAGATTGCATATGATCAGAATGCTATCCTGTAATCAGAAAACCCTATTTTCGATCAAATAGACACCCTGGAAAAATTCTAAATTGTTCAATAAAATGATCATCCATTCAAATCCTTTTCAAATATTTCGAGAAATGCTCACGCTAAAATTGCCCCAAGTGAAGTAGAGATCCCTGGCCTCGGTCGCCATGGCGAAGAAGACAGCGAAGAACGTGTAACTTATGGTCAAATTTCTTCGACGTTCCTCCACGTAATTGCTCGCCAACCAAAACCCAACGATCTTCATGTAAAAAGTCATGACGGTGATCGAGAGATCTCTCACCTTCTTCGAAGTCATTCCTTCGAATCTTCAACGACGCCCATTCGATCGATTCGAAACGTCGCATTGATCACACTAGCCGACAACTTGACAACTTTCGTCTCGTCGTATCACGGCTATATTTTTCTTATCGTATGGACAATTGACTGTTTTGTCATTGTGATTGTCACTATTGCGTGCGAGGAGAAGAGGCGAGAAGGATCGATGAATTATTCACGATTCTAGGGGAAGTGTGTGGTTACGAATATAACGCTTGTTGGTTCAGTAATTCAGTTTGTCGCTTGGATTCGCTCGAAGAATATCGTTCGTGCACACGTGTGGACGAATGAACGTGTGGAATTATGTACAAAATTGTGAGTATCTTTTTCCACGTGTAAATAATTCTTTGCGAAATATGAAAGTACACGAGAGAAATTCTTTTTACGACGAATAATTATTTCTTATCGAAGAAAAAGGAAGTTATCTATTTAATTAATAATTGGATAGAATAGACTTATAATACGATATATCGTTTAGAAAATAACAAGCACGATTTATTACGTGCTTGCGCAAAATTCCAATTTTTTTATTTCTTTCATCAGTCTGTTTGATTGTATTTGATTCACAAGTTCGTAAAATCGATCTGAGGAAAGGTTTCCGAATGAATTTTCCCTCGTGGATAATTTCGATAATAAAAATACAACGAATATTACGTATTTTCCATTTTTTCCAGAGACGAATGTTTCAATAGCGTGAAGTACGACATTGCCGTGCTCAGAATCTGAGAAGAAAAAAAATTGAGGACGCGATTACTCGAGAATATTTAATTATCTGTTTTACCAATAAGAAAAATACAGTCGTGATTACCGCGGTAGAGGTTTCGAGAGAAACGGGGAAAAATTTGCCGGCTGTCAAACAGCAAACTCTGTGCGATCTCATGATGACGATTACCAGATTTTTTCGCAGAACGCGTCCAACTTCGTCCATTGGCAAGCTCGCCCAAGGCCCCGAGAATATCGCGTTGCCCACTTTCACGCTCTCCTGTATCAAATCGTCGCAACTGTACGTGAACATTAAAAGTTGGCAGAGGGTGCCGGCGAAATTCAACACTAAACTGACTTTTCTCGAGGCGGGCGTGTCCATCTGTTCGAATAAAATTTATTATCCCAATCGTAGAACGATCTTCCGAAAATATTTATACGAGAAAGATCGAGCGAATCGAATGTTCGGATGTTGCATACCAACCAGAAATAATTGAAATCCCACGAGGCATATCACAACGGCGAGGAACAGAACTTGGCCGAGCACGATTATCGTGAATATATTTTCCAATTGTTTGCAATATTTGGTCAACGCTTGGTGGTGAAGCACGCAGCTCTTCAACTTCGCGTAAAGTTTTCTCGCGTCTCTGCGATCGCCTGGCTCGGCGCTGCTCAAGCTTCTCAGCCTGTGTTGCAATATACGAAATTGGCCGGCCACGTGGAGATTCACGATGCACAGTAAATTGTCGAAACAGATGTAACACACGCCGACGTGGTACACGCAAAGTATCTGCGCGCGGATAAAAAATCGCTTTTCGTTATTTCTTCCTCTTCGTGTCATTTAAGAATGAATCGTTTAACGTGCGTGAATAAGTTCCTTCTCCTTTTTTCGTAACTTCCCGAATTACTTCCCGCACGTGACGCCATCTGACGAGCGTTCCAAGAGTTTTCCAGTCCTGTGCAACGACTTTTCAAGCGATATGACTGTTTTCTTTTTGCAGCTTAGGTGATCGGGTGTCAAAGCTATTGAAATGGTTTGAGCGCCACTGGGAGGAAACGCTGTATCTTACGGAACTTGGAAATTATAATTTGGAAGGCGTGAAAGTTCGATGACTGAGTGAGTTGGAGGAATCGAAAATGTTAAATTTGGAAGAAAAGGGGAAAGAACTTATTTTCACACCTGATATATATTCATATGATTGTACAAGTCAAATAATATTACGCACAAAGTTAAAAGGTTATCACGAAAAATTAAATTAAACATACGTATATTTCCCGAATATTTTCAATTTTCAAAGAATTTGGAAGGAAAATTATGAACGAATAACCTGTATCGTGAAAAGGATCTCGAAGTAAGGCGACAATCCTACGGGGAAATCGACCCACAAGTTGAACGGCAATTCTCTGTTCGATTCGTTCTTTCCTATGTTTGCTGAAAAAAAAAAAAAAAGACGAATATTATTAAGAATTTTTTCAAGCGAAATTTCATTCGAAAGATCAAAGTACCTATTATCGGGGTGACCATGTAACCGGTGCAAGTGCCTTGAGCGCAGAAGCTAATAACAACGACGAAAATGGTGCATATCCTCTTGCATTCGGCTAAGATTAATTTTTCTTCTGGGTCGCGATACGGGCGCCAGAAATTCTTGCGCGTGAATGTGACCAGATTGAAAAACTCCATTTTGTGGGCGTACAACACGCTGACCTTGAGGACGACGATCATCAGGTAGAGATTGTTGCAAGAGATATAAACGCTGTCCTGTATCATGGAGAACGAGACGAATTGGAATATATTTTTCTTTGCGAGTCCGTTATAAAAAAAATAATCGATGGAGAGGCTATATTTGATATTTTTATCAGAGAAAAAAGAAACTCACGCTAAAGTTTCCCCAAGTGAAGTAAATATCCCTGAAACCGATGCACACGATAATGAAAAGCGCCCCAACGGTGTAGATCAACGCGAAATCTCTTCGACGTTGCTCGCACCGATCGGCCGCCAACCACAATCCAACTATTTTCATCAGGAAACTCGTCCAAATTATCGAGATGTCTCTGCTCCCCGTCGGTCGCATGGCCAACGTGGAAGAATACGCCGCCGATATTTCACGCGAACGCCTGATGATCGTCTTTGATCATGACACGTCGAGAGACACTTTGATTTGTCAATCCTTTTGAAAACGCCAATCACGAGCTGCTTAGACGAGTTTTTAAAGCATCTTGATATGTGAAACGTCGTTGCAAACGTAACGGGGGTAAATTATTCATGATATGACGAGGGAATGGAACGTAATTGGCATGACAATGGAGGGAGAGAACGGGTGGGATTGACGCGAGGGGGTGGATAGTACTGCGTCTACCGGTTGATTAAGCACTTATGCTTGCTCTTCGCGGGCCAGGATTATAGAAGTGGTGTATAGAATTATGGTGTATAGCATAATGATTAAGATTATGGTGATTACATCATCAAGATTTATTTTGGAGATTTTTATTTTTGATTTTCAAGTGATTTTTATTGTACAGATTTTAGTGGGTTTATCCACGATAGGGTGGAATGAGAAAATTAGAATTGCATAATTTATCTTTAATTTATCTTCCAGATAGAGGTTGGTAAGTAAGTGCATGACGTTTGTGTGCATTAATGCGTTCTGTAATATAAAGGCATTGGGCATTAAAAATGTTATGACACTTATTATTAATCGATCAATTTTACGGATGTAAAGATTGGAAATTAACGGACGCATTTCATTACTTTCTTCTACATTACGTGACACGATCGATTATTTAATTCTTTTCTTTCTTTAATTATTTGAACACAAAGATTGAACAATCTGTGTAAATTATCTATTTCATGGATTCCCTCAGGAGAGTAAAATACGACACGGTAGAGCTTATAAGCTGGAACAAAAATTTTAGCAATATTAATATCAATCTCTTATGATCTTTTTCTAAAAAATTTGTGCATAGTAAAATATTCATTGTTCGAAAATTTATTGTTATTATTTCATTAACTATATATCAACCGGGTATATCTTTATCGTTTAATTTAAAAGGGGAGAAAAATTGCTTACACTAGTAGACGTTTCCAAGGAAACAGGAAAAAATCCTCCAGCGGAGAGATAACATGGCCGCATGCACTTCATCATTATTATCTTCATATCGTTCCGTAACATTTTTCCAGTTTTGTTCATTGGCAGTGTCGTCCACCAGCCTGAATACGTTGCCAATCCGACATTTCCACTTTCTTCTATCAATTCGCCGCAAATATACGTGAAAAAAAGTATATGGACCAAGATACCAATCCCGGAGAAAACGAAAATGAAACGCGTCGTTAGAGGTACGTCCGCCTGTATACATTATTTTTATGTTCATGTTTAAAAAACTTAATGCAATTGAAATATGTAAATATATTTTTTTTATAAAAAACTTTTGGAAAGCTGATTCTAGAAAACATACATTCAAATCATGCATCGTGTTTACTTTGTATCTTTTTTGCATGTTATCTAGACATTTTGTACATTTAATATTTATGCATAATTGTAAACAATTGAAAATTGCATGTCTGACAAGTTAATATTTGAAAATTTCGTTCATGAGATTTGTATCTAACGAATGAATAATATCTATCGAAATGCGTAGCATTTTGATTTCTTTAAAGAGAAATTACACGTACTATAAGTATTTCGTAGAAGGCGATGCACATTATCAAGCTGAACACAATCACGTGATTTAAAATGGTCAACGTGTAAACATAATCGAGTTTCTTGCAATATTTGAGCAACGATTGATGCTGTTTTATGCACTTCTTTAAAGCTTTGTAACATTTTTCCGTGCAAGAGACGATATCCTTCTGTTCCTTTATATTCGACCATATGGTGAGCATTCGATGTTGCAATATGCGAAACTGGTAATTCAGATGCATGCTCAACACGCATAAATAGTTATCGTTACTCAAATAAGTCAGGCCGATTTGTTGTAGAGCTATTAACTGCACGAATTAATAATTTTCCATTAGATAATCGATAGAAAATCATCAAAATCCTCTTATAATATTAACTAGATTCACAGCGATTCTCATATTACACGAATACAAATTGGAAAATTCTATTAACAACAAGCTACTTAACGATTCGTTCGAGGGCGAAACTTGCAGTGAAAATTATTTTCAAGAGCAACATTTAAATGTTTCTCTTTTAAAATTCGTAGTTATATTCTATATATATATCTATTATAGCGTCACGTTTCGCGGTATTGATTAATAATAATTAATACAATTATCGCTAGGTGGCCATGATCACGATTCAATTACGATATATTGACTCGTAATACCGATCTCGCCGCTAGGTGGTTCCTGTTTCCCGCTAGTATTATTTATCGCTATTAGGTATAACTATTAATCCAAATAAGGGGATGTCATCATCAAGTTTGTATCAAAGTGTGTAGTTGTTAGTGTACAGTGTTTCCTATATTCTTGTGATCCTTGCAATACTATATTCGTCCATCATCCAACGACATTTGTGGTTATAAGGTAATTCTTAATATCATATCTTATTCTACTTTTGAATTTTTCGATCAATTTGAGATTTTGATGTAATTATTGAGACTTGTATAATAAAAAAGTCTCAATTGCTAATTCCTAATTGCTCGAATTCTGAGAACTAGTTAAATTTCCATATCAATGTTTCTTCTTATTATCGAGTCAATATTATTATTATATTATAATAATTTAAAATAAAAGAGCATGTTTGATGTTTCGGATTCTTGAAAATATAAAAATTGTTTGCTACAATTATTATTTGGAATACTCTTCAAGTCCTATGTGAAAATAATAATTTATATAAATATGAATTTACTTTTAAATAATAGTAGTCCAACTAAATTTGTTTAAATTGTAGATTTTAATTTTTTTAAGAGTTTTAAGATCTTACAATGTTTCGTATTCAAATTTCACGAATTTAAAAGTTAGATTTCGATCTATCTTTAATTTAAAATATATATAGGGTTGCTTTTTTTTTGAAATTTAAAAATTCTTTTTAGAATATATCGGTAAATTATCCATATATTATTTAATTCTGTATATACGAGATAAGAGAATTGCTGTTCTAGAAATCTAATTATGTGTTACTAATCGTTTTCAAATATAAATGGATGTCGTCGCATTTCACCGATATAAATAAAGATGTGTAGTACCTGCGAGGCAAACAATAATTCGTAATATGGTGTTGTGCTTAACGGTATATCGATCCACATTCTGACCGGAAGTGTTCTTTCTGATTTGTTCTTTCCATAATTCACTAAAATACATTGTTTCTTTTAAAATTAATATCGATTTCTATTTTTTTTGCTAAATCTTAATGCTAAAATCTTAAGATATTCAGAAAGATTTCTAAAATTTGACATTGCATTAAGACTGCACCGGTATTGATTTAAGGCTTAATTATATGTAAAGTTATTTTACTTTATAAAAAAATTTGTTTTCTTAGAAATATTATTAAAATGCATAAAGTTTTTGTTTTCCAATGATTTACTCACCGTAGAATGGTGTAATTACATAGAAAAAAATACAGCTTTGTACAAAAAAGTATGCGATTATGGTCCAAAACTTGCAAAATGTTTGACACTTCATGAAAAGTAATTTTTCGTAATTTTCATATTTGTAATGCCAAAAATTTTTCTGGGCATATAGTATTATTTTCACGAATTCTCTTCTGCGAAAGCTTAATATTATAAACTTAGATAGCGATAGTATGACTATTAATAAGTTAGATATTATGAACATACAATACTGAAAAAATAAATCCAAGATTTAATTAATATTTGCGCAATGTACATATTTTCTTAAAATTAATAAGAACTAAAATATCGAAATTATGTGTTAATAATTTAATTTTGATATAAATTTTCTTAATAATTATTCATAACATCTGATGTCATTCATCGAATGTTCGATGTTATAATTTTTCAGATATTTTTGAAAAAATTAACATTTTATTTTTACAAAATCTAAAACTTGGCGAGATCCTAAGATTCATTTACTTGAAAAAATTGTTCGATTTTGATTTTTCTTCGTTTTCACGATCTTTAAACTCTGCGATGAACTCATATGAACAATTTTGAAAAATAATTTCGTACTTACGTTAAAATCGCCCCAACTGTGATAAATATCGGTGATATTAATATACAAAGCATAGATGTGCGAGGCGACGGTGTACAACATATTGATTCTTCTTTGACGTTCTTCGGTTTTGTTGACCGTTATCCAACTACCCACGGCTTTCAGTAAAAACTGTGACAATTCGAGAGAGATATCTGAGAAGTTTCGTTTCGTATTCATGACAATCATTGTCAATCACGGGAAAATTAATAGATTCAATGAAAATATGCTCTTCGCGAAAACGAGTGACACTTTGATGTATTTACGCCCCTTTTCTCCATACAACGATGGAGATAAATACAATCTTTCTTATCGATATCTTATAACATATATGCTAGCATTGATTGTCTTTCTCCTCCTGGGAATGCACGACCAGTTGTTTGACACGTGTTGATTATTTTATCACTTATGGTGATTCGATGAATAAGTACAGTTTGAAAGAAGTATATCTACTTATTATTTTCTTTTTCTGTTCTGAGGTTGAGGATCACTCAGGCACATAATCCGTACTTGGATATTTATCTGCCTTGTGTATTTAAAGTGTTTTAAAGCTATTTGGAGATATTTTAGTAACTTGTTATGAAGATTATTGTCTATTTCGAGGTACGTTGTACAAATGCATCATCTTATTTATAAACTTGGAACAAAGTTATACTTATAAATGGATCATTGTTTAAATTTAATTGCTTATTATTTCGTTTTTTAAATGTCATCAAGGGAATCTATAATTCTTCTTCCATGCAAATATTGATCAAATGTAGCTTAAATAAAAAATTAATATATTCTCGTTGCAAAAGTTGTTGGCGATTATTTTTATTATTTAAAAATAATTAATGAATAAAAATAGATTTCAAGTTAGCTTTTAAAAAGTGTTAATTGTCTATTGAAAATATATGTTATATAATGGATTAAATATTAAAGAATAATTAATTTCAACTTGTATAAGTTTTAAAAAATCATAATTATTATACAGATTATGTATATCTGTAAATATTTTTAGAAAGTGTAGAAAGTGCAAAGGATTATATTGAATAGCTAGTCTCTATTAATATTTATCTCTATTATTATCATATCATCGTTAACTTCTTTTTATTTTTATTTTCGATACACATAAATATACAAAATTCTCTCGAATGTTATCATAATCGGACACGTTTAAAACACATTTTAAACATCGTATGCAAATTATTATAATTCACTCTTCCAGATTATTTCTTAACAGTGTGAAATAAGATACCGCGGTACTCAAAATCTGTAAAACATAAATAAATAAACAACATTTGAATTTTCAGAAAATATTACATAATATTAAAAATTACGAATTCAATATAATTAATATTAACACCATTTGAACAAACAAATATCCATTTTCCATTTCAAAACTATTATTACAATTATTTAATATCCAAGATAATATCCAAATATCCGACGATTTTCATTATTTCAGAATAAAAAAAAATATATATTTACTTGCTACAAACACAACTGCACGATATATTTTCCTTCATCACGCTTACCGTGGTATAGGTTTCCAAAGAGACGGGGAAAAATCCGTTCGCCGTGAGACAACAAACGCGTCTCGAACGCTCGATCACCAATATCAGATCGTTTCGAAGCATTCTCCCAAATTTGTTCATCGGCATCGTGGTCCACAACGCCGAGTACGCGCCCGTAGCGATGTTTTCGCTGTGCACTATCACGCTGTTGCAGCTGTACGTGAACATGAACAACAAACACATCGAGCCTAACAAAAGAAAGACGAAAATGGATCGTCTTCCGATGGAGACGTCGTTCTAGAAAGAAAATAATAAATTTTTACAAAATATATTGTAAAAATTGTTGTGCAAATTTATTTAACGTTATTCAAAAGCGTGTGACGAACGATTGTTATAGTCGATTTATCACTATACCACCAATATCTGATAGCCGAACAGGCAAATCAACACGCTCGATATCACCACTTGTCCAAGGATAATGACCGTGTACACGTTTTCAAGCCTCTCGCAATAATTGATCAACGATTGATGGCGGCGTACGTATTCCTTGAATCTCTCGTACAACACCTGCACGTGTTCTATCGCCAATCTCGACTCCTCATCTTTCTTGGAAATTTTGGAATCGGTGTCGCACAGTTTCGCGAATTTATGCTTCAGTATATTAAACTGGCCGGCCAAATGAACGGCCAGGATGCAGAAAACGTTATCGAAACAAAAGTAGCAGAGGGCGACGCAGTATATAGATAGCACCTGCAACAATTTTCCTTTCCGATAATTAATTTTTTAAATTCGACAGAACTTAATATTCTATCTATTGCAATTAATCGAAATTTTTGAAAGTTTCAATTTTAATTTATCACGTGTATACACAAATTTTTATTAAAATCAGGATTTCCTGGATTTCAAATTTTTAACGTTCAACGTTCAAACGTTGATTCGACGAATTTATAGATAATGGAGAATTTTGTATCTGATATAAGGACGCAATAGAAGAAAATTGGAAATACCTCTGCAGCAAAAAGTATTTCGTAATAGGGTGTCACTGATATAATCGGCAAATTTAGCCATACGTGAAACGGCAGTATTCTTTCGGACAGGTTTTCCGTATAATATTCTGGAAAATATACAGCGGTTATTATTTCGTTGTATTCTTATCATATCCTCCCGCAAGAGAAGTGTAATAATAATTTTATTATTAAACGTGTAAATTTCCTTTTAAAATTGGCGAATTTTAAGAAAAAAATTATGGAAATTTCGTTCTGCTCACCAATGATCGGTGTTATTGCGTAGGATATCATAGCGCATATGCCAATAGTGCTGACGCTTGTAACGAAGAAAATGCAAGTTTTCCTACAATTATTCAAAATTTCTTCCTCTTGAAAATCGTACTTGACGTTCCAGAAATTTTTTTCCATGTACAGAATCATGTCTATAAACTCCTTCTTATATATCATTATGATAATTATCTTGACGAAACTTATCATTACGGTTAAAAAATTGGTGATGACATAAAGAATATCCTGAAAGAAAATTTTTATTAATAATCTTTCCGTTAAAAAGAACATTTTTTTTGAAAAAAAAATGTGTAAACGTCTACAGAAATTTGCAATTTCATTTAATATTTAAAATACAATGTATTTCATCAGTAACAATGGTTGTCAGAGACTTGTAGTTTCCTTATTCACAATCGAATATTTTTATCGTTCGAATTAATTTTGATTTATTTTCGAAAATGTTCCATCCGAATTTGCACAAATTTAATTTAATTAAAAAAAAAGTAAAACACTCACGCCGTTGTACATAAAAGTGAAGTATATATCTCTGAAAATGACGACCGCACCAAGCATTGTGTTCCATAAGGTGATAAGGACAAGTATCTTCATCCGACGTTTCTCCGCCGGGTCGTTGGATATCCATACCCCGACGTTCTTCAGAAAAAATATCGATAGGCTCATCGACACGTCCAATTGAGTTTCCGCCTCCATTGTGACTGATCGACAACGCGTTAACTTCGTCTTACGATAATTGATAGCCGTCGCTCTCGCGCTGTTCCTTTCATTGCGAGGAGAGTGTCAGGAGAAATGTGACTGTCACACTTTATGTTGTATTATTGATGCGTCACGATGAATTATATAACGTGCCGTGGACTGGACAGCAGTCGAGATCTTTTGATTATTACGAGTACTACGCGTAGTAAGACGTTAGAACATCGTCTCAGGTGTTACAGGAAGACGAAATGTCGGAACGGTTGTCGTTTCTGTTCCGTGGACGCAAAGAATTGAGTGAGTAGAAGAATTTAATTATTGCTAATTTGTAATTATTTATAGAAGAAGCAGGTTTAAATAGAATTATTTAAATCTATTTTTTTTTATTTCTGGAGGAATATCGATTTAAAAATATATCCCTAATCGATCGAAATAACGAACGATCATTTTGTATTTATATTCTTTATACAAAAATACGTATTTATTATTACATGCACCCTACGGTTCAATAATGATAATATTTATTAAAACGATCAATACAACAATGTTATCCGTTATTACGTGTAAATTATCCATCTTCGATTTACTCTCTTCTTTTTTTCATGCAACAAAATGTAAAACATTCGATATTTCGTTAACAAGTTTTTGATAAATTTACGAGCCACTCGCGTTTTCCACGCGATTATTCAGCAATGTGAAGTACGATACCGCTGTACTCAAAATCTGTAAAACGTAAACGAGTAATTTAAACCTGAAAATATTTACGATTCTTAATTCTTTGTATAATTTTGCTTTGTATAACAAGGATTAATAAACAACATTTTCAAGTATGTTTTCTTCGAATTTAAATTTTTGGTCAATATGAAAAATATACAGCACAAACATACTGTGAAATTTTAATTAATCATCTTATATTTTTTCAAAAAGTTAATATTTTTAACGAATATTCTCGAGTTTGTAAAATTGAGAAATCATTGCAATCTTAACGTTTCGATGATGAATTTGTTTTCAAATTTGCTACCTTGGTATAAGTTTCCAACGACACGGGGAAAAATCCGTTCGCGGTCAGACAACAGACTCGTCTGGATCGCTTCATCACCATTATCAGATCGTTTCGAAGCATTCTCCCAAATTTGTCCATCGGCAAAATCGTCCACAGTGCCGAGTAAGCCCCCACAGCCACGTTGTCACTCTGCTCTATCACGCCGTTGCAGCTGTAGGTAAACATGAATAACAAAAACATGGAGCCACTCAACAGGAATACAAAAATGAAGCGTCTCGCTGTAGAGGAGGTTGCCTGAGAGAGAAGAAAACAAAATATGTTTTCGTCTGGGTGGAGCATACAAAGGATTTGCAATATTTATTGCGCATCTATATCTTCGTCGATATTTCATTTTGTAATTCTTTATTAATTTAAATTTAAATTAGTCAGAGATCTTAGATAGATCAGATTATCGTTTACGTCAATCATTATTCAAGGGATTATGTACTGACCACGAACACTTGGTATCCAAATAGGCAAATTAATACACCGAATACCAACACTTGTCCAAGCGTAATCATGGTGTACACGTTCTCAAGGTTTTGATAGTAGTCGATCAGTGCCTGATGATATCGGACGCATTTCTTAAATTGCTCGTAAAATTTGTACATCTGTTTTGCCAATGTCGATTGTGAATCCTTTTTTCGTATCTCATTCTCTGTGTCGCACAATTTCGTAAGCCTGTATCGAAGTATGCGAAATTGCCCTGCCAAATGTACCGCCATGATGCAGAAAATATTGTCGAAACAAAAATAGGAGATTCCAATGTAATATAACGATACTCCCTGTAAAGAAAAGAAGAAGAAGAAGAAAAAAAAAAGAAACGACAATTGTTCCTTTGCCGTTGTTATTCTCAAGTTATTTATAAAAATTATTACATCATTTATTGTTAAAAAAAGAAATTTGATATTTCAATTTCGATAAATTTAGCAACGAAGGAAAGTGTTGTAGCCTCGTCTAATATAATTCGAAAGATTTATTTTGTGAAATTTATTCGATCGATTCGAAGAAAGAAGAATAGTAAATTTAAAATTACTTGGATAAAAAATATTATCTCGTAGTATGGCGTCCTTGTCACCAATGGCAAATTTATCCATATATTGAACGGAAACATTCTCTCGGATTCGTTACTTCCACTTTGTGCTGTAACAAATGTGCAAAAACCTTTTGCTTCTTTTTCCCTCTATAGGATAGTATATTTTTGGGAAATATCGGTTTCCTCAAAAAGCCAATTGAACAAAAATTCGGTACACAAAAATATCAAATTTCACTGGGAGGATAATTTATTAAATTGTGCGTACAGAGATCGTGCATTTTATTAATCGAGATAATAATATTAATCGATTATTTATAACCCACTAATGACAGGTGTCGTTAGATAGGATATCACGGTGCACATGCCAATCGTGGTAACGGAGGTGATGAAGAAAATGCAAATTTTTCTGCAATCGTCCAAAATTTCTTTCTCACGATAATCGTAGGTAACGTTCCAGAAATTTTGTTGCATGTACACAATCAGATTTAAAAATTTCCCTTTGTACATCAATATGATGCATATTTTGATCAAAGCCATTATCGTAGTTATGGTGTTCGTCATGGCATAAAGTATATCCTGAAACCAGGTCGTTTACACACGTGTTAATTAAAAAAAAAAATATATATATATATATATATTAATCGTTATTACCAATCAAAATTAATAATTTCTAAGAATCGAAATTACAAAGTAGATTCCACTTTAAATTATATCTATAATTTTTAAAACTCGTTATATCTTAAATTTCTCTCTATACGTTTCATCCATGTAAAAAAAAAAAAAAAATAACGAAACATACTCACGCCGTTGTACAGCAACGTGAAATACAAATCCCTGGTGCTGATTATCGTGCCGCAAAACAACATCCAAATCGTGTATACGAATAACATTTTCATCCTTCGTTGTTCGCCAGAATTATCAGACATCCATACCCCAACGTTCTTCAAGAAAAATGTCGACAAGCTTATCGATATGTCCAACTCGCTTTTCGTATGCATGACGATTGATCAACGTGTATCGTCTCACGCGCGTACAACTTCCAGCGTGCGTATATATATATATATCGCGATAATAATTAATAGGCGTTGATAGCTCGTTCCTTTCTTTTTTTTCGACACACAGAATAATATCACAAGGCAATATTACGAGTATCAAGCAGTCAAGAAAAATGATTGTCACCCTTCCTATTGTATTATTGAAGGTGGAACGTGTAGCACGAATTACAGGGGTGTAGAAGGTTTCGATCGAGAATTTATGCGCGCAGACGATAAGGTGTTTTTTTTTTTCTGAGATTTTAAGGGAAGGATGATGCGTGAAATGGAATATTGTTGCAGTTTTTCCGCGATGTTGCGAATCGGTGGAAGAAAGAGTAAATTTGGATATTCGAAAATAAAATTGTGAGTAAGAGTTATTGTTGATAATTTAGATAATTACTATTTTATGCAAGAAATTAGGTCAATCGATATATTTAATGAAGTTAGTCAAGTTTAATAATTGGATAAATAAATATGTTTATGTCTGGAGAAATTAAAAAGTTTTTTTGATTGTAGCTATTTGGATATTTATTTAATCGGTTGATTTGGACTGATTTTATTGCTCTGTAATTTTTGGAACGTCATCGAGAATTTTTTAATCCGGTTTAATAGTGGTTATTCATTATTTTATTATGATCAATAAAATGATTAATAATACAATTTCATACATTATTTCGAAAAAAATTATGCACCTTCGTTATATTCTTTTTGAACGATTGATCTGAGATATTTTGTATTAACGATGTATTATTGAAAAGTTGTTGTTAATTACGCGCCATTTGTGGTTTCTACGCGATTACTCAGCAATGTGAAATACGATAGCGCCGTACTTAAAATCTGTAAAAATAAATATTTTATTCATCTAAGGGAGAACGTTTACTTAGGATTTTGCACTTGCGATACAATATTCTATAGCAATGATTCACAAACTTGTGCTTCGTATAATTTTACAGAGAATTAAGATCTTGAAGTATTTTTTTTAAACTCAAAATCACAAAGAATGTGGTACAAATGTTATATAATTTCCATTAATTCTTCATTAATAATTATAATAAATTGCTAGTATTTCGCATTATGTAGTTGCGATAAATATTTCAAAAAATTGAATTGTTATCGTATCATTTTATATTGAATTTTATGAATCGATCATTATTCATAATTTTGATATTATTGACTGTCGCCATTTTAAAAAATGATAATGATAGTAGATAATCTTTCTCTTCGATATGTCTATTCTATCCACAGACCACGATTATACCTACTTTAGTGTATGATTCTAACGATACAGGGAAAAATCCATTCGCAGTCAGACAACAGACGCGTCTGGATCTCCTGATCACCATTATCAGATCTTTTCGAAGCATTCTCCCAAATTTGTCCATCGGTATAATCGTCCACAATGCCGAGTAAGCTCCCACAGCCACGTTATCACTGTGCTCTATCACGCCATTGCAGCTGTAGGTGACCATAAATAATAGAAACGTCGAGCCACTTAACAAAAAGACAAAAATGGAGCGTCTCGCGAACGAAGCAGTCGCCTAAAAGAAGAAAATGTTCAAAGAAACATATATAGAAGAAAAGTCGACAATTTTTTCTTTTTTTTTTCTTTAATTTAAATTTAAATCAGTCTGTTAGGTTTTGATCGTGGAACAAAATAATTTTTTGCACGAATCTTTAGAAACAGTTCAATTACATATAAAGCGTAACGTGTTAAAATATTTTCTTAAATTTTACTACAATTAATTATTCTTTTCTATCTTTTCTATCGATCTATAAAGTAATCTTGGAATACTAACCACTAAAACTTGATATCCGAATAGGCAAATTAATATACTGTAGACCAACATTTCTCCAAACGCGATCCTGGTGTACACGCTCTCAAGATTTTGATAGAAATAGATCAATGCCTGATGATGCCGGACGCATTTCTTAAATTTCTCGTAAAATTTTGGCATTCGGTTTGCCAATATCGAATCCTTTTTATACATCTCGCATTCAACGTCGTATAGTTTCGTGAGCCTGTATCGAAGTATGCGAAATTGCCCAGCCAAGTGTACGGCCATGATGCAGAAAATATTGTCGAAGCAAAAACTGGAGACTCCTATATAATATACGCACATTGCCTGTAAGAAAATTATTTTCTCTGTGTTATGAGAACGAAGAAAGAAAATTATTCAAAATGTTATGAACTGTCGATATGATCGTAATTTCAAATTTATTATTTACTTTTTAAAAACAGATATGAAGAAGAATCAAAAGTTTATTGTTGATGAAAAAAAAAAATATATATTTTAGAAATTTTAATTATCGAGATTTATTCGATCGCTACGAAAGGAATAATAAAAATATATATAATTTTTAAATTTACTTGTACGAGAAACATTATCTCGTAATAGGGCGTCTTCGATAGCGGCAAATTTATCCACATATTGAACGGAAGCATTCTTTCGGATTCATTTTGTGCTGCAACAAATATTATACAAATTATACAAATATACATATGTTACAATATGTTTGTTTTCGTGTAGGATAGGAACATCTTTGGATCGATTCAATAAAGAAAAAATTAAACAAATAAAAAGTATATAAAAATCAATATCGATATAGAATTTCGAGAGAGAGAGAGACAGAGCAATCTTGTTTCACATCCGTCTCGCTTCGCGAAACGTAGGGCAATGACGAATAAACTCTCCCTACTCCTTGGTTTTCTCCGCTATATTAAAGGTTATTCACACTTATTCCAACACTTTCGATTCAAAAGTTCGATAAACATTTTTGGATATCGACTTTGATATTTGTTTTTATCTCTGAAATCGATCGATCCCATAATATATTATTATTCTGTATATTGATTGTTCATAAAAATTAAATCTATATTAAGTGTAGATAAAAATTTTATTGAAAATTAATTGGATTAACTTTCAAGAGACAAGTGAAAAAAATTTTTCTTTTAAATTTTTTACTATCTTCTGTTGTCAAACTTTTTTTTAGCACTTTAAATATGTGTATAATTTTTAATTATTTTAAAAATAATAATATAATAAACTTGTTTATCGTACGTAGCGAAAATTAATAAATTTTATAAATTGATAAAACTTATTTAATAAATTTGTTATTTATTCTTTTTTCGAGTATGTAAAATTTATTAATTTTAATTATTTTAATTGTTAAACCTACCAATGAACGGTATTATTAGGTAAGATATCATAGCGCATATGACCATGATGGTAAGAGAGGAGACGAAAAAAATGCAAATTTTTCTGCAATCGTCCAAAATTTCTTTCTCGTGATAATCGTAGTTAACGTTCCAAAAATTTCGTTGCATGTACACAATTAGATTTAAAAATTCCCTTTATACATTAGTATGACGCATATTTTGATCAAAGCCATTATCATAGTTATGTTATTCGTTATAGAATAAAGAACATCCTAAAAAGAATAATCATACAAACAAATTATAAAATTATATTATATATTATTAATTATTCCAGCGATTTTTTCTCATCCTTTCGTTAAGTTCTTTGTAAAATGTTAATTATCCAAAGTTCATTGTTAATTAACTTTTTTTTACAAATTTTTTCATTTTAAAATCTACTTAAAAAATAGAAAGAAAGAAAAAAGATTTCCTTCTAATACAAATTGACAAATATCAATTTTCTGTTCTTACATTTCAAGAAATTAAATTTTCTTCGTTTTATCCAAGTACAACAAACTGAACATACTCACGCCGTCGTACAACAATGTGAAATACAAATCTCTCCCATTGATGACTATACCGGACAACAAGATCCAAGTTGTATTGACGAGCAACATCTTGATCTGACGTTGCTCGCTAGGATTATCGGACATCCATACTCCAACGTTCTTCAAGAAAAATGTCGACAAATTCATCGATATATCCAACTGGCCTTCCGTTTGCATGGTGATCGATCAACGTGCAATCCGTGTATCGTCTCACGCTCAATTTCCAACGAGTATATATCGCGATAATAATTAATAGGCGTTGTTGATAGCTCGTCGATTTCTCTTGTCTCGTTTTTACACGCACGTTTCCTCGGAGGGTTCTCCCTCGCCGCTTTGTTCTTTTCTTTTTCGACAGGAATATTACAACGAAGTGGAGAAAAAAATCATTGTCACCCTTTCTATTGTATTATTGAAGATGGAATGTGTATTATTAATAGCGTTGAGGGAGTAGAGCGAGTAGAAGTTTCGATCGAGAACAGTAAGTGTTCGACAATTGTTGTTGTTCACACTTTAAGAAAGGATGATGATGGAATGGAATATTGCTGGAGCTTTGTATTGGTGCAAATGGTGGAAGAAGATAGTAAGAATGAAATTTGGAAATTCAATTATTTCGTGAAAGAATTGTGAGTAAGAATTTATTAATAATTTGGATATATTTGAGATTTAATAACAGTTGTATACGTGTTATACAACTATTAGTATTTAAATAAATAAATTGATATATTTATTTCTGGAAAAAAATGTTGGCTTCAAAACTCCATACTTGTTATACGATAAATAAATTTGGTCTTTATTTAGTCGATTGATTGGGATTAGATTTTTGTTCCATGTTTTTCTTTTTTCCGACTTTACTTAACGGAATATTTTTTATATTCTTAAAAAATATTCTTTGTATTCTTAAAAAAAATATGTGCACACAAATTCGTAGTTTAACAGTGCTTATTATTTTATGACAATTGAAATGATTAAAATGAAACGATTTATTATTTATTATTTCAAAAAAATTGTCCACCTTTATTTTATCCTTTCGTTATTTATAATGGACTTGAATGTGCAACATCCGATTCGAGACGTTTCGTGTCAATGAAAATATTGTTAAAAAGTTGTTATTAATTATAATCAATTTGCGTTCTCTATTCGATTGTTTAACAATGTGAAGTACGATACAGCCGTACTCAAAATCTAAAATAACAAATAAGAAACTTAAACATTTAACAAAATATCTTAAGATTCTTATGCACTAACGTTCACAAATATAATGATGTTCTATACAAACGATTCTTAATCATGTATATTTAATGTTAAAAAATTAATAATCAGAGTCTAATCTAATTTTTAAATTTAAATTTTTGATTAACACCATAGAAGAAATATAAAATACAAATAATACTATATTATTCCTTCGTCACAATATTTCAAGAAATTAACAATTTATGTATTCAAAAGAGAAGTACGTGATACGAGAATTTTAATAGGATCGATAATCGATCATGCCCCACAAAATGCATTTAACTATTCTATACGTAGTCTGCGATTATACTTACCTTAGTGTACGTTTCCAATGACACGGGGAAAAATCCATTCGCAGTCAGATAGCAAACACGTCTGGATCTCCTGATCACCATTATCAGATCTTTTCGAAGCATTCTCCCAAATTTGTCCATCGGTATAATCGTCCACAATGCCGAGTAAGCTCCCACAGCCACGTTATCACTGTGCTCTATCACGCCATTGCAACTGTAGGTGACCATAAATAATAAAAACATCGAGCCACTTAAGAGGAATACAAAAATGGAGCGTCTCGCGAACGAAGCAGTCGCCTAAAAGAAGGCCATATAAAAAACTTAAGATATATATATATAGAAGAAAAGTCGACTTTAATTTTTTTTTTTTTTTAATTTAAACTTAAATCAATCTGTCAGGATTTGATTGTGAAATAAAATAATTTTTTGCACGAATCTTTAGAAACAGTTCAATTATATATAAAACGTAACGTGTTAAACATTTTATATATAACAGGAAAACTTGTATGTATTTTTAATAGTATCTTTTTTTTATTCCAATTATTCTGAAATAATTGATAAAAGTAAAGTAATCTTTAAGTACTAACCACTAACACTTGGTATCCGAACAGGCAAATTAATACACTGAATACCAACACTTGTCCAAGCGTAATCATGGTGTACACGTTTTCAAGATTTTGACAGTATTTGATCAACGCCTGATGATGTCTGACGCATTCCTTAAATTGCTCGTAAAATTTGTACATCTGTTTTGCCAATGTCGATTGTGAATCCTTTTTTCGTATCTCATTCTCTGTGTCGCACAATTTCGTAAGCCTGTGTCGAAGTATGCGAAATTGCCCTGCCAAATGTACCGCCATGATGCAGAAAATATTGTCGAAACAAAAACTCGAGATTCCAATGTAATACAAACATATTGCCTGCAAAAGATATGGCAATCATTTTCTCTTCTTTGTTACGTAAAATATTGGCACACAAAGAAATGCATTATGCTTCCATTGAATAAAATTAATCACAAAATTGTCAAATTTAAAGAAGAGAAATATTTTAGAAATATAGCCTCGTTTAATAAAATTTAGAAGATTTATTTTTATTTTATGAAACGAAATGATTTTAGAATGATGAGTTTAAATTACTTGGATGAAAAATATTATCTCGTAATAAGGCGTCCTTGTTAGTGGCAAATTTATCCATATATCGAACGGAAACATTCTCTCCGATTCGTTGTTTCCACTTTGTGCTGCAACAAATGTATAAGTTGCTTTCCTTCTGTAAGATGGAATATCTTTCCTCGAGATAAAAACAAATATAAAAATTGATATATAAGAATTTCAATTGTGGCTCATTTATTAAGTTACAAGCAATTTTAATTTTTTATTTCATGCAAATTTCAACTTATTATAATAATTGATATTTTTGTATACTCTTATATTTGTTTTAAAGATATCTCACAATAATATTAGTACACTGTATATTAAATAATCATTGAGTATGTATAAAAATGTATACTAAATTTCAAATTTTCTATTATATTTTCTATTGTTTATGCATTTAGAAAAATGACAGTCAATATATTTTACGTTAAAAGTACAAAATCAAATTTCGCAAGATTTAAAATTAAAAAAAAATTTTCAATTTAAAGTAATAATGATATAATAAACTTTGTTTTTCATAGAGTAAAAATTAATAAATTTTACAACATTCCTATTTATTTCGAATTAATAAGAATTATTTAGCGAAATATTTTCACACCCAGTTGTTCATTTTGTGTAAAATTTATTAATCGAACATAAATAATTTTAATTGGTAGTTAATTATTCAACCTACCAACGAACGGTGTCATTAGATAGGATATTATGGCGCATATGGCAATGGTGGTAACAGAGGAGATGAAAAAAATGCAAATTTTCTTGCAATCATCCAAAATTTCTTTTTCGTGATAATCGTAGTTAACGTTCCAGAAATTTTGTTGCATGTTCACGATTAAATTTAAAAATTTCCCTTTATACATTATTATGTTGCACATCTTCACTAAACTTATTATCAAAGTTATGTTATTCGTCACAACATAAAGAATATCCTATAAATTGTTTGCACACAATTACATTACATTCCAACGATTTAAATATTACTTTTCTAATCTAAATTCTTAACAAATTTTCTCTTTCTAAAATCATCCTTATTTAAAAACCAAAATTCCTCAAATCCATTTTTAAAAAAATACGACTGGACATACTCACGCCGTTATACAACAATGCGAAGTACAAATCTCTAGCGTTGATGACTATACCGAGCAACAACATCCAAACAGTGCAGGCGAGCAGCATTCTCATCCGACGTCGTTCACTAGGATCATGGGATATCCATACCCCGATGTTCTTCAAGAAAAATGTCGACAAGTTTATCGATATGTCCAAGTGGTGTTCCGCTTGCATGGTGACTGATCAACGTGTGAGGGTGTCACTCGTATATCACGCGTATACCTTCAACCGTATATAAACCGGGACAATAATTAATAGGCGTTGCTGTCGATTCTTTTTTGTCACCGTTCTTCTTGTTTTCGTGCCTCCCTCGTCGCTTGTTCCTTTCTTTTTGACTCGAGAATATCGCATACGATACGAAGTCAAGAGAAATGATTGTCACTCTTTCTGCTTTATTATTAACATGGCGCTCAATGTAAATTATTCTATGGATCGTGAGTGGGCATTTTTTTTCGAGAGCAAAGTCATACGTGTCAGACACGTTAGACGTCGTACGAATTTTGATAAAAGGATGGTTTAAATATGGAATATTTTTGGAGTTTTTCTCTTGTAATGCAAAGATGGGAGAATGTAATAGGGAACGAGTCTGGAAATTTAATTATTTCTTCGTTTCTATCGTGGAAGTGAGTAACGTTTTATTGTAATAATAATTGTATGATTATATTGTTTGCAATTTGTACGAGAAGTTGAATGGAAGAAAAGATATTTTGACTGAATCGTTGTAAAACTGTTTCATTTCTATGCTTGGTAATAAACTTAATAATCATTCAGTTGTACCAATTTATAATTTTCCTCGTGTTAATGAAATTTAATCGAATTTTAATTTTCTGCAGTCTATAATCAAATGTAATCAAATACGTGAGAAAAATATTTGTTATGAAGAATAAAATAATAATAATGTAAAAAATGTTACAGTTAAATATATTTATATTATTGGCACGTTAAGGGATATATTATTTTATAATTCGTTGAATAAAATGATTTACTATTTACTCATAAAGAAAAAGTTCTATTCAATAAAATTTATAGAAGATTTATCATTCGAATAAAATTATTCTAACAATTTCAACTTATCGAAATTTAACTGATCGTTAAACGAATAATAACATAAATTTAAATTACTCGTATAAGAAACGATTATTTCCTAATAAGACGTCTACAAATCGAATTCATTGTTTCCATTTCTCTAACACTCGACAAATATACAAACCGTTTGCTTTCTTGCAAAACGGAACATTTTTTGGGGGCGTAAAGTAATTACGAATACAAAAATGTTTATATAAAAATTTCGTTCCATGCTTATTTATTAATTTATAAGAAATATATGTTAAAATAAAATAGAAATGGAGCGAGATACGACAGAGACAGAGCAATGTCCTTCCACTTCCGTCTCGCTTCGTGTATCGTAGGGCAATGACGCATGGCACTCTCCCTACTCCTCGACTTTCCCCACTACTGAAACTGAACGTTCTCCTCGCTTTCGATTCAAAACAACCTCAATCAGTTTCGTGTATCAATATTTTTATATTTATTTCCATTTCTAGAATTAAATCTTTCGAATATTGATGCATAATATAATTGCTACGAATTTATTTATTAACATTTGATATGTTAAATGTTCAATTTACATAGAAATACATTATTCTCATTATTTTATTAAGTGTAAAATTAAATTTTGAAAGATTTAAAGATTGATATCATTTTTAAATTGTAAAAATGATGAATTATTGAAATTATTTTCAATAATAAACGATACAAAGTGATAAATATAGTTGTAACATTGCTGTCTCTTTTGTTTAATATTATATTCTGCCATCTATTCGTTTTATTTTGGTAAAATTTATCAATTAAGCATATTACCAGTAAACAGTGTCATTGGATGGTGGTAACAGAGGAGACGAAAAAATGCATGTTTTTCTGCAATCAAAATTTTGATGCATAATTAGATTTAAAAATTTTCCTTTATTACAATAATATATTTTAATCAAACTCGTTATCTTATATTGCTTATATTGTTCACTATCATAACATAAATAATCTTAAAATGATTAACAAATCCATAACACATTGATATCATGCATAAATGTTATATGTTATAAATTATTCAAACATTATTCAATATTCGTTGATAATTTTATCAAATTTTGTCCCATATTTAAGCATAATCATTATACAAATCTCTTCCATTAATAACTAATAGCAGAGAAAAAGATCCAAGTTGTGTAGACGAGTAACATCCTCATTCCATGTTGTTCATTATCAGATATCCCAATGTTGTTCAAGAAAAACTTTTGACAAATTCATCGATATTACGTGTATCACTCAATCATCGTAACACTTGTTTCACAGTCTCTCCTTTCTTTTTTTTTTATCATAAAACTAAGTTGCAAGAATAATTGTATACGGATTAATATTTCGTTTGTTCGTGAAGTATATATGATCAGATGTTAAACGTCGTTTGGATTTTACGAAAAAAGAAATGAAAAAGGTCCACCAAATTTTCAAATATCGATAATTGTCCATTTAGCTGGTATATATTTTTCGTCGTACAATTGTTTTTCTTATTTTTGTTAAAAATAAATATAATAAATAAGGGATTGAAAATTCAAAATTTAAATCCAAATTTCACGATACAATAGTTTCAAAAAATTTTTCACAGAAATGTTCGTAAATATCGAAGATTCAAATTATCGTTTGCTTCATCGTGCCACAAATACAGAATTTCTTATCCTCAAGATAGAATCACAATTTTTTTTTATTGATCATAGTTACACGACGATTTCAACCTTCTATTAAACAATTTCTAATGTACTTTGTCTCAATAACGTGAAATATGATACTGCAGTACTTAAAACCTGCAAACAAACCAAACTATTTACAAATTAATAAATAAATGTAACCAATATTGACAATATTAAAATGTTCCAAATATCAATCTCCTTTAAGAAAAGATTGATTAAGAAAAAGAAGCTCACTCACCCTGGTGTACGTTTCCAGAGACACGACGAAGAATCCCCGGGCCGTTAAGCAACAAGGCACAGCCGACCTCAGAATGACGAGTGTCAAGTCTTTGCGCATTGTTCGACCGCTCGTGGTCTCGAACAGAAATGGCCAAGGCCCGTCGTACACCGCCGAAGCTATGCTCGAGCTCTCTTGTATGATGCAGTCGCAGCTGTAGGTGAACATCAGCAATTGGCACATGCACGCTGCCAAATGGAAGGCGAAAATCAACCGTCTCCTGACAGGCGACTCTGGCTGTAAAGGTAAATACGATGACGATAGAAAACGTCGTACAAACGCATAACGAGACATTTGTACGATTATTTTTAGTCGACAGACTCGTATCGTTTTACATATAAACGTGACGATGGTTTAATTGCTCACCAAAAGTATTTGGTAGCCATCGAGGCATATTATCAGACTGAACATCAACACTTGCCAAAGGATGATCAAACTGAACACTTTTTCGAGTTTCTCGCAGAACGCTATGAGCGCCTGATGCTCGCGAACGTAATTCTTGAAAGCCGCGTAACATTTCTTGGCAAAGCGGGGCGAGCTTACAATTCCTTTCTCATTTTTCTCCTCTATCAAATCCGCTATGTTGGCCATTTTGTATTGCAATATTTGAAATTGGCCAGCCAGTTGCAAGTTGAAAACGCACAGCAAGTTGTCGAAACAGAAATAACCAATCCCAACGTGATACAGGGACAGAGCCTGCAAGATGTATTTTTCACAATTTAATCACTTAGATTTAATTCTTGTTTAATTTCTAAATTTTATTTAATGTATCCATTCGTTGATTTTTCCAATGGTATAATTAAAAAGGAGTGTATACCTGTATCGTGAACACTATTTCGTAATATGGCGACGTCGATAGCGGTAAATTGACCCACATATTGAATGGGAGTACCCTTTCCGATTCATTTTTCCCGATATTTTCTGAAAAAAGTGCGTTATTGTATAAAATAATTCCACTGATTCCAAGTATTTTGCGTTTCGAAACATTTTCTCTTTCTTTTCTTTTTTATTACATGAGATTAATTAACTAACTCACCAACGAGCGGACTGATGATGTAACAAACGAGAGTCCCTTTCGTGGAAAATGTAAGGAAGCAAACAAAAATGGTGCATTGGCGTCGACAATTCGTGAAGATTTGCTGCTCCCGCTTGTTGTTGTAATTGTCCTTGTAGAAATTGTTTTGCGTGTAGAATATTAAGTAGAAAAAATCCTTCTTATTCGAAACTATTATGAATATCTTCAACAGGGGCATTGTTATGTACATGATGTTGCATACGTTGAAAAGACACGTCTGTAAGCGAGGAAAATGATTAATTCCTACACACAAAAACAGAAACGTAAATTCAAGAATTTTTCTTCAGACGAATCAATCATACAGTCGCGTGATTATTAGAAAGAAGAGAGGCTATTCTTCCCTCGAACGACTCACGCTAAAATCGCCGAAAGAGTAATAGAAATCCGTGAACTCTATCCACAGGGCGAAGAGTATCGTCGCCAGCGTGTAGATCAGGGCAAATTTCCTTGCCCGTTGCTCGTGCCTGTCCTTCGCCGTCCATAATCCGACCAGTTTCATAAAAGTGGCGGTCATGATCATAGATATGTCGTCCGTGTTCAGAAAGCCCATACTACGCTCGATGATTACGACCGACGGACCATTGAACCGCGATATACGCGATATAATCTTGGAATATCCTTCTGCATCAATTATTACGCGGCCGTATTTTGCAACCTTTGATCCGCCGTCGACTTTTATTCCGCTGCAATCTTCCTTGCGCGCTTTGTATTTATTTTATTATACTTTGCCATTCGTTAAATACGGTGGAGGGGCGGATAGGAGAAAGAAGGGGGGAACGAACACGGTTTGATCCGCACACAAAGGGGGCTCCAACCGCTTTCTCGGTTGGTCGATGCATTATGAATGGATCGGGAAACTCGATGAAAACTTACTTTTGTGAAATCGAGATCGCTGTTAGGAGTCGTTTTAGAAATTATCGAGGAGGTTGTTAAATATGAAACGATCGAGAGATGGCCTCTCTTCGATCGATTCGTTGAAGTTTCATTTCTTCGTCGTGCACGTCGAGAATGGTGGATTCGTGAAGATTTTAGAAAATTGGGCGCCGAGTAAGTAAGAATTCAATGAAACTACGGGTGAAAGAATCTTTTGCAACTTGATATTTTCTCTGATTATTTTTTTTTTTTCTTTTTGTTGACGAAATTTTCTTTATTCCTTCTTTTTTTTCTTTTTTTGTTTAACACACAAATATAATTAAATACACACATCTCGCAATTCAAATTTATGATTTTGAAATTATTATGATTTGAAATTAAATACACACATCTCACAATTTCTTCAAATTTATGATTTTTATATATTCGAAACTGGTGTTACGCTTCAAATGCGTTTTCGGATTGATTTCTCAGCAATGTGAAGTACGATATCGCGGTGCTCAAAATCTGTAAAAATTAAATGCACATTTTCAAATTCCTATGCCCGTATAATAAATAAGAAGCAAAAATGTGTATTTTTAACAAATTTGTATCAATAGCACGAGATATTAGTGGTAAAATTTTACTTACTACCGTTATTCATTAAACAATTCATTAAATATTTTGTGCGTTTTATTTATTAGAAGAAGTTTATTTCTTCAAATTTATGATACACGTCGTATTCAATCACATTAATTTTAAGATACAATATTATTTATTTCATCTATCATCGATGATTGCGAACAAATTTTAAAAATTGCTTTCAATTGCTATTTTTGTGAAAAGAAGAAGAAGAAAAAAAAAATCACATTAAGAATTCAATCATTTCACCATAGACAGTTGTCGCTCTTAAACTTTTTTCCGGCATATAATTTCTTTTCATAACGTTTTAATAGAGTAAAGATTGAAATTGCAGTGCTCAAAACCTGGAGAGGAAAAAAGAAAAAAAAAAAAAAGAAAAAAAAACGAACGTTCGTCTCTTCCTATTATACAAAATTTTTTCAATGAAAATTCATATCTTCATTATTATATTTACAAATCTACTTTTGAAATTCCACTTTCTATTGGAACATTAGTCTAACAATAAAGTCTAATAACAATTGCTGAAACGAATATGAGTATAGAAGACTTTGAAACGATTGAACGAGATTGAAAGTGATAAAAAAGAAACGAAGAATTCAAAATTGATACGAAATTGATCGATAATATTTTAGAGAAATATTTATTGTAATTCCAACAACGACGGAAATATCACTTACTCTGGTGTACGTTTCGAGCGACACGGCGAAAAATCCGCAAGCGGTGAGGCAGCACGGTGTTCGTGACCTCGCGATGACGAACATCAGATCTTTTCGTATCATTTTTCCGTATTTATCCATCGGCAGAAGCGACCACAAACAATTGTACGCGGCGTCGGCTACATTCGTACTGTCTCTTATCAAGCAATCGCAGCTGTACGTGAACATCAACAGCTGGCAGATGCAACCCGTTATATGAAACGCGAAAGTGACGCGTCTTCCAAAAGGGGTATCTTCCTACGATCGTGACAACTCATCAGATCGATTAAGAAGATATTATTTGGCCGAATATACAAATTTTCAAAAGTGTAATTTAAGGAGAATAAAAAAGAAACGTACATGGAATATTTTCTACGATTAAAATACCAACCATAAGTATCAAATATCCATCGAGGCACATCAACAAGCTGAATAGCAACACCTGTCCAAATATCATCGAATTGAACACTTCTTCCAGCTTCTTGCAATACTCGATCAGCGCTTGATGCTGTTGAATGTAAGTTTTGAGCTTTGCGTATTCGTGGGAACTGCGCAACGATGAAACTTCATCTTTACACTTTTCGTTGCACGTGTTGGCAAATCTGTATTGCAAGATGCGAAACTGGCTGGCGGTGTGCAAATTTAAAATGCACAACAGACTGTCGAAACAGTGATAGCACACGCAGACGTGATACGCGAGTACGACCTGTGCAAAAAAGCAATAATCATTTATTTCATTTATTTTGCACGAAATTTCCTGCGATATATTTCATTTAAAAAGAAGAGAATTTGTTCACCTGCACGATAAACATCAGTTCGAAATACGGCGTGACGGATAATGGCAACTCGAGCCACATATTGAACGGAAGTATTCTGTCCGATTCGTTTTTTCCACGATTCACTGTCGACGCAATCTTCATCAATAATTGTGATTTTATTATTAATACGACGAAATCAAACCATCTTACCCAGAATCGGTCTCAATATGAAACTCAAAATTGTCCCTTGGGCGAAGAAAGTGAAGACGAAGACGAGGTAGTTGCAAGTGCGTTGGCAGTTGTTCATTATCACTTTCTCCCTCGCGTCGTAATTCGAATGCCAAAAATTCGTTCTCGCGTAACGAATCACGGCAAGCAGCTCCTCGTTGTACACGAACGATGTCAACAGTTTGATCAAAACTAGAGCCACGGTTATAATGTTGCACGTGACGTAAATGGAATCCTGTAACGGAAGAAAAATTAGAAAGATCGAATCCTTCTTTATAATTAAAATATTTATGCACAAAATAAATAGTTTGCACAAATATGCCAAATTGAACGAACAATTCTTTTCCTCAATTTAGAGAAGCGTATCTTTTATTCGCTTTTTGCTGGTCGTCACAGAGGAAGTTGAGATTTTCAACTCACGCTAAAATTGCCCCAAGAGAAGTACAAGTCCCTGGCCTCGGTCGCCACAGCGAAGAATATCGTAAACAACGTGTAACTCATGATGGCGTTCCTTCGCCGTTCCTCCACGTAATTGTTCGACGTCCAAAATCCAGCGATTTTCATGTAAAAAGCCGTGACAGTGATTGACAGATCTCTCACCTCCTTCGATTTCATCTCTTAGCGTTTAATGACAGAGTTCCTCGATCTCAATCCCTGGATTCTCCTCTGATCATCCGCCACCAAAAGTGATTGACGTCCTCGATCACGTGATTTCACCGTTTCGAGAGTGTCACCGTAATTACCGGCCTCGCGCGTGAAAAGAAAAGGGGAGAAGAATGATCGATGAATTATGCATCATGAATCTAAGAAATATCGAAACAGGGGCGAGTGACGACTATGTGTGGATAGTCGAGTGGATTCGTTCGAAGAATGATCGTTGTGCAAAAGTTCGTGCTTTATTCATCGAATTATTAAATTTTACATGCAAATTGAAGAATCACGTGTAGATATGATCATTGAGAGGAATCATTCTTTTTTCAACAGATTATTTGTGACGTCAAAAGGTGGATACTCTTGATGAATCGAAAAATATCGATCGCATGGTGTTTTTGCTGTTTCTGATATTCGTAAACATTTTAAGTGAGTACTCTTCTTTTCTTCATTTTTAAATGATGAATTTTTATTGAATCGAATTGACCAATTATTGAAACGAGAAATATCACGTTTGAGGAATATATTTTATTTTTATTACTGCGTTAATGACAAACTCAAACTACTGCTACAAATTATCAGTCTTGCTATCTCGATCGATCGAGTGACCATCAGGCATGTGATACAAAGAAGCGAATAGAGAATAGATGAAGACAGTGATAAACGCGTAACTTGTTGAATTAACTTGATGAATGATAACAAATTCGTAACAAAATGTACTATAGTTCATCTTTAGGTGTAACAACAACAACAAAATGGTTAATAAAAAAAAAAAAAAAGAAATTCAAAGCTTTTCTTTTAATTTTAAGACTTTCGTTCGAAAAAGATTATTTTCAGTGGGAATCCTGATGGCCACCTAATCTGCAATAAATAATATCTCTATAAATTGTTGTTAATACATAAGTACATGTACATCAATAATTTCAATTATTTGGATTTACTTGTGCCATTTCATCCAGAAAGAGAGAAACACAGAGGCAGATTGATAATTGTACAAAATTCTTCTGTTATTACGAACGTATAATATATATGTATTATATATTTTCTGCATCTAGGCTCGATTGCTTTAACAGAGTAAAATACGACATTGCCGTACTGAGAACCTGAAAAAAGATTAAAAGTAATTAAAAGTTTAATTTCGTTTAATTTTACGAGAAAGGAGAAAAATATCATTGATCAAAGAAGAAAAACAAATTGTAAACGTTTTAAAATTAATTTTAAAGGCGAAATCGAATACAAAAATTGAATTTTGTTTCTTAAGTCGCGAGAAATGGAGATGGAGAAGTCGGTCTTCTATCTTCGAAATTTCGATATTCTTACATATTATTAATATTTGTTAACAATGAACGATATCATGACACAAGAAGGAGCGATTACCGCGGTAGAAGTTTCCAGAGAGACGGGAAAAAATTTGCCAGCTGTCAAACAACAAACTTTCTGCGATCTCATTATGACGATTATCAGATTTTTCCGCACGAGGGCGCCAGCTTTATTCATTGGCAGATTCACCCAAGGCCCTGAGAATACCGCGTTGCCCACGTTCACGCTTTGTCGTATCAAATTGTCGCAACTGTACGTGAAGATTAACAGTTGAAAGAAGGTGCCGCCCAGATTGACCACCAAACTGGCTCTCTTCGAAGCTGGAGTCTCCGCCTACAATAAATATGATGTATAATCGTAAGTAGATACTTATTATAATATAATAAGAAGATGAGAAGAAAAGAGATAAATTGAAGAAAAAAAAAATTTATTTTGAGAAAATTATTCTTTCAATGAGATTAAACAATATAATTTTTTAATCACTTAATAATTTCAACCATGTACTTTTATTTTTCAAATAATTGTAAATATAAAAAGATACTCTGTCCTCGTTCATTTAATCTCATAAATTTGAAAATAATAATTCGACGAACAATTCCAAGTTATCGAAAAATACGACAAAGTGTTGGCATATACGAACGAGAAACAATTGAAATCCGACGAGGCATATAACCACGGCAAGAACATTACTTGGCCAAGCACCATCACCGTGAATATATTCTCCAATCTTTTGCAATACTCGATGAGGGTTTGATGCTGCTCCACGCAATCCCTCAACTTCTCGTAGCAACAGTTCTCGTAACGCGGTGTATCGCCCCTTCCTTCATCCGCCACCAAATTCTTCAGTCTGTGTTGCAATATGCGGAATTGGCCGGCAACGTGAAGATTCACGATGCACAACAGATTGTCGAAACAAATGTAACAGGTGGCCACGTGATACACGCAAAGTATCTGTATTGAAATCATCTTCGATTGGTTTGGACAAAAATTTTTAATTATAATATATCAATTAATATATACTTGATTGATGTATTCAATTATTTAGATATATTCGTAAATGTTTGAAGGTGTTTAAAGGTGTATTTACAAATGGAGATAATAAGATAGAAATATGTATTTGTACTTGTATAATGAAAAGTAGTTCAAAGTAAGGCGACAATCCTACGGGGAAATCAATCCACAGATTGAACGGCAATGCTCTGTCAGATTCATTTTTCCCTATATTTTCTGAGAAGCAAAAAACAACACGTCCCGTTATTAAGCGTCAACTTTTTCTTGAAGCTGTATGATATATCTATATCTTATTTTAAAATATATTTCCACGGAACAATCGAGATATCGCGTTGAAAATTTTATTTACCTATAAGAGGGGTGACCATGTAGCCGGCACAAGTGCCTTGGGCACAGAACACGATAAGGACGATGGAAAAGTTGCATATTCTCTTGCAACCAGCGATGATTAATACTTCTTGCGGGTCGTTGTAAAAGCGCCAAAAGTTCCTCTGCGTGAACGTGATCAAATTAAAGAACTCTACTTTGTGCGTGTACAACACGCTGATCTTCAACAGCACGATCGCCACGTATAAAATGTTGCAACAGATAAACACGCTATCCTGAAATTCGAGCAATAATTTTTTTGAGATTCCGGTTGATCAAATATCTCGATAAAAATATTAAGGAAGGAAAACGTGCACGCAACGCAAATAAAATCCTATTTGTGGAATATTTGTAGAAACTATTAATTGCAATTTCGAGAAGATGGAGTCTCAAAGATTCTCAGAGAGTACTCACGGAAAAATTTCCCCAAGAGTGGTATATATCCCTGAACGCGATGCACACGCTGATGAACAGCGTTCCAACGGTGTAGATCAATGCGAAATCTCTGCATCGTTGCTCGTTTCGATCGGCGGCCAACCACAACCCCACGATTTTCATCAGGAAACTCGTCCAAATTATCGAGATGTCTTTGTCCTGGGGCCGTCGCATGGCGAATCAATCAAAGGAAACGTTACCTTCTACTTTCTGGCCGCCTGCTCGATTTTTAACGAGACGTCACCTGTTTTCCATACTTTTGACGTGTCCATCCTCTTTTCAGGATGCCTACAATCACCCAGTCTTTCCTTTCCTGCAATCGTGCATGTCGACTTCCACCTGCATTATTCATGATTCATGGAAGGGGACGCTCCCCCTCCAGGTGACGATGAACGCAACGAGGATGTACGTGGTCTTTATTAGTCGTTCATTTTACGTCCCAAGGGATGGATCTTGTGGCGTCCTTTTTAAGGCAACGATAGTCGAAGAGGGAGTCGAGTTTGAAAGTGTTTCTTGAAAGGATATAACAATATAGATCCGGAGGGGATTGATCAAAGTTGATGGAATTGAATCAAGCGCGGGAAATGTTGAATTAATTGTTTAAGAGGAAAAGGAAATTTAATAATTTCGCAATTCTTGAAAGGAATTGAGAAAAGTGGTTGAACTGATATCACGTTTGCCCCAATTGATGATATTTGAATCATATTTTATTTTTTTCATCTAAGAAATACAAATACTAAAAAGTACTAAAGTTTCTTAGCTAATGCTTAAAAAATTTTCACTTCATATAAATTTGTGCACGTTTTTTTCGATTTATTTAGTCCCCTTTCATGGACGATTCCCTCATTAAGGTGAAGTACGACATTGTGGAACTTATGAGCTACAAGAGAATAAATTTAAATTATATTATCAAAAACGTTATAATTATAATTACTTGATTGATTACTATTTAAAAATGATAGCACGTATTTATATTTCCCCCACATTTTAAAATGCAATGAAAAAAAAAAAAGTGCAAAATTTTGAACTTATTGAAAAATGAGTACAAAATTGTTCACTCATATATTTACACGATCTCTTTTAACCTGCAGAAATTAATTGAATTAATTAAAGAAAATTATATAAATTTTCTAATAATTGTTAAAAAAGAATTTCATAATTTTACGTTTTATACAACGAAAGATATCTTCGATATCTTGAACGAGAATGAAATGAATGTTAAAAGAGATTGCATACCGCAGTAGACGTTTCCAAAGACATCGGAAAGAAGCCACCTGCGGAGAGGTAACACGGCCGCATCGACTTCATCATTATCATCCTTATATCTTTTCGCAGCATTCTCCCAGTCTCGTTCATCGGCAATGTCGTCCACCAGCCTGAATACGTCGCCAACCCGACGTTTCCACTTTCCTCTATCAAACCGTGGCAAATATACGCGAAGAAAATTATATGGATGAAACTGCCGATCATGTGACAAATGAAGATGAGCCTTTTCAACGTGGGTATGTCTGCCTGTACGTATAAAAATTATTTAAAATACGATGTATACGTGAATATGTATTCGTGAGATACACCTTTTGAAATGATTCAGGCTTATTTATCGAAAGCAACAAGCAATTGAAGTTTGTGCAATTCTACGATCCAAGATGTTCCACGAATCATATTATCAACATGTCGCGAATAACGAATGATATTAAAAATATAAGAGCGAAAAGTGGAGCGAAACTTCCGAACAAAATCTCTAATCTCCAATCATTAGAATTAACAATGATGATAGAAATATTAGCGTACCAAAATTATCTCGTACGTATCGAAGCACATGAGCAAGCTGAACACCACCACGTGGCTGAGGATCGGAAACGTGAAAACCTTCTCGAGTTTATTGCAAAATTCGATCAACGATTGGTGCCTTCGAATGCACTTTTTCAAAGCCACGTGGCATCCCCTCGCGTAAGCGGCAACGTTCGTTGTTTGTTCATCGACCACCGACCAGATCCTCGACAGTTCCTGCTGCATCATGCGAAATTGGTAGAGGGCGTGCAGGTTCAGTATGCACAGGAAGAAGTCGGTGCACACGTACGCGACGCCAATTTGTTCTATGGCCAACAACTGTGCGAACGTTGTTTCTTAATTTCCCTTTCTGACGAGGTGTCAAGCGCAACAACGAACGATTCGTTATATATATAGAATAAATCTTTATTGCTCTGATCGAACATTTCTTACGACAGTGAAATGAAAATAGAATTTAACCTCGAATCATCGAAAGAATGGAAGAGTGAAATCATTGAAAATCATTCGCGTGTTCCTCGGGTGTATCCAAATGATCTTGTTCACCTTACTAGTTTCGATAATTTTATTCTATCATTTATCTCATTAACGTATAAATAAAAAATTATGAATGGTGATTATTATTGAAATTTGAAATTGAAAAGCAATTTGAAATATTATTTCTGACGTTAAGTTTTATTCTTATATACCTGGATGACGAACATTATTTCGTAATACGGTGTCGCGCTTAAAGGAAGATCGACCCACATTTTGAACGGAAGTATCCTGTCCGATTTATTCTTCCCTATATTTTCTGAAACATAGTTTTTTTTTTTTTTTTTTAATTATCCTGTATTTCTTATTCTACACTCCTTTATCCATATATTTATTCTTCTTAATTTTAAAATGGATCTTCGATCCGACTCCGTTTGTAAATTACCTTACCATAAATTGGTGTAATTATGTAGAAAGCCAACGAGGATTGAGAAATCATGCTCACAACTATGATCCACAACTTGCAAAATTTCTGACACTTTTCGAAAAGTATCTTCTCATTGTAATCGTAATCCAAACGCCAGAAATGTTTCTGGGCATATGAAACTAAACGCGAGAATTCCATTCTGAAAAAGCTTATCACGAAACACTTGAATAATCCCAATAATATGCACGTTATGTTGCAAGTGAGAAAGACGCAATGCTGAAAAAAATAATATTTCAATATTTTATAAACGAGTTAAGAAAAAAATGTTATCGATGCACGACGAGTCGTTACACGTCAAAGATTAATCGTGAATAAATATTTTTTGAAACAAAAAAAAAAAAATAGAAATTACTCGAGAAAAACTATACGCCAAATAATAATTTCAATATTTCAAACAAACTCACAGCCAAATTGTCCAAATTGTGATAAATGTCCACCGCGTTCACGTATATACCGTAAATCAGGGCAGCAAGGGTGTAGAAAACAGCGAACTTCCTTTGCCGTTCCTCGGCGTTGTTTCCAATCGTCCAGATACCAGCCGATTTCAACAGGAACTGCGACACTTTGAGCGACACGTCGGTGTACCGTTCCTTGTGCATGGTCTTCCTTTATCTTTATCCTTTTCCTCCTCAATTTCAAACTCTCTTAAATCAAAACCGATTGATTGGGCCGAAGAGAGAGGAAAGTTGTGCCACCGATCGACGACTCAACGTGACATCACTTTGATCTATCGAGACACTCGATCATTTCGCGCGTGTCTTCCTTAAAGCGAAACTTTTCCCCGTGAAGTAGAAATGATATGGCTGGATCGAGACAAAATGTAAGATGGATGTGCCGTTGTATTATGCATGGCGCGAAAGTGATTGTGTCACATCCTGGACGTACAGCCGGCAATTTTCCACCGTATCGATTATTTTCGGCGAAGATAAAGACAGTTGCATGGTGGAGATGTGTATTGTGTGTCGAGAAGGAAGTGTTTTAAATAACGTGTTGTGATCAACATATTGATTTGTATTATTTGATAAATTTTTTATTAGCACATGATATTTTGAATAAAAAAAATATTTTATTTCAGGAATACTATATGGACAACTCATTGTTGCATTCGAGTAGATGAAAGAAGACGTGAAAATTATGGAAATGAATATTCATCAGTATTTTGAAGTTTCAACGTTTCAACAAAGGTATGTGATAATTTCTCAAACCGCCATCTCTACAACTCAATTAACACATGTTAAGATAATCTAGTACGAAAAAACTTAAAAAAATAAATAAAAATTAGGCGAGGAAAAGATTTAACGCAAGATATTTTACAGTGGAAGTATTTTATTTTGAATAGATATATATATATATGTATATATATATATATTCCTTTTTTATCATTTTCATTGAGAAAATACGTATACTTATTCGCAACTCATTATGTTTAATCCTCGCGAGGGGGCGCTCGCTCGCCGTCCCCGCCACCTCTTTATAAGCATACAACTTGTCAGAGTGTCGAACAATAGGGATGATGAAAAAGGGAAGGAAGCAAATGAAATTTTATTGCCGCTTCCATCCATCGTTGAACGATCGATCAGAGATCGACGGGGCAGATCGAGCGTCGTCGCCCCCTCGATCAACGATAAATCCGGACCGAAACGTTACAACAAACGAAGATCGGCCCACAACGGGTGTGTTTACGTATCGGGAGGGGGGGAGGGAGGGGCATTACTTTAATCGTTTTAAATATAATGATTCCTTTGCGAATGAATAAAACGGGGGGGGGGGGTTTGTCTCAGGAGAGAGGGGTGCGTAGGCATCGACGTCGTTTTAATCTTCTTCGTTTTTTTTTTTTTGGGTTTTCTTTTTTTTTTTTTTCTTCGCGAGATACATATACACACGCTTCGATACAATATTAAAACACTTATCAATTTCATTTGCAAACATTTCCTTACCTAGTATGTTTCTATTATTTCATTGTTATTCGGATAATGCCGCTTATCCATATAACACGTGTACCCATCAAAGCAAAGGGAAAAGGGAACTTAAAATGGCTTGTTCTCTTCATCTGTCTAGATTAGTATGGCTCCTCTTCTCTTTCTTTTTTTCTCTTTTCTTTTTCTTTTCTTCCTTCGTGATTCTTCACGCGCGCTTAAAATCGAAGGATCTACGTTTTATTTATTTATTTATTTATTTTTCTTTTTGTTTACCATGTGTGCATAAGATAAGATAATCGCCCTATCAGTGTTAGTTAGTCGATTTCGAAATAATCTTTGACGCGAGATTATCCAAATATTATATCTTAATAGTCTGTTCTCAATAAAATGAATGTTCATCGTGAACTCTGAATTAATTATATTAAATTAATGTATCGTCACACGTGTGTTAATCGATATAATGCGATACGATAATTAAACTGTGGATTTTTGCGCAAGTATTTACGTTGTATTAAAATTTGAAAAAAAATTTGAATCGCTGTAATTTTGAAAATAATGATCTCTCTGATCATTATGAATCGAAGATGATTAAAAGTGCGAAATCTCACTCTTTAAAATGCTTTCTGAGAGATATCGTCGTGCAAAGAAGAAGATAATTTATCGTCGAGTTACATCGCTCAGAAATTCTATTAAAATTAGAAAAACTCTAAATCGCTGTAACATGAAAGATAATAATCCAAGGTCGATGAGTGAAAGATCATTAGAAACATGAATCCTTGCTCTTTGAAACGCTCTTTGATTTATCTTTGATACAGTTTCCGGTTCCCGAGACTGTATCGTCGTGTAAAGTAATTTCTTTATCGTTTACAACCATCTCCGCCGTTCTTGTCGCTTATCCACACCTCTCATCTCTGATTATATTGCAGAAAAAGTAAGCAGATCGTGTTAACAATCATTACATCTATTATCAGGAAACGGAGAAAGGATTCGATAACAAAATTTTTAGTTCTTCTTATCTTTTTCACAGGAAAAATCGAAATGAATACGACACGACGTATATATATATATATATATATATATATATATTTTCTGTTTCTACTTGTTTTGTATCCACAAAAATCCACAGTCTCGTGACGTAATCGATTCGAGATAAAATGGTAATAAAATTATTTCAGTCGTGAGACAAAAAAGTGCTAGATCATTTAATTCTTTTTTTTTAATAATTAAGTTAATTCAACATCGTCGGTGACAAATTATGAAATTATTATTATTTCTCTCCTCCTTCGAATCATCGCGTGGAAACATCGAGTTGCGATAAACATCGCAACGATAATAATTTTTTTTCTCTCTACGTTAATGATAATGATAACAATAATAATAATAATAATTACAATAACGATAATAATGATAATAATTCTGAACAAGAAGTTGGCGCAAGTTAATATGCAATTGCGGATTCGACCATTTTTTTCATTTTCCACAAACTGATCGAGCAAAGCTGTCCACCAACCGAAAAACCAGCCCTTAAACTTAACAATTATTAAAGGATCTCTATACGTTTCTTTTTTTTTCTTTTTTTTTATTTTTCCTTTTTTTTTGTTCGTCTATCAAACGGTGTCGTTTAAATCGATCGCTACATTGCAACAAGTTATCGATAACATCTTTAACACTTCGTATCTCGAGGGGAATTTTCTCGAAAGCAACAATCCACTGTGTTTTCTATATCCGCTAGGAATATAAATGCTTCTATTATATAATTGTACGTACATATACGTAAGCTTGCAACGATTACACGAGTCAACCTAACCGATGCGTGAACGGACCTATTCCATTTCGGAATAGGTATAAAGCTTAGGGTAAAAAAAAATTTATAGAGGGATCTTTTCTTTTTGAACACGAAAAGAAGTCGTTTTTTTCGACTTCTTCTTCAAGATCAAATTTAGAAAAAAAAAAGGTGTGGTCAAATTTTACAAGCGGTAAAATTTTAAAAATAATTCAACGATCGATTCGAATATCTTCCATTCACACGTTAAGAGGCCGAAATTAACGCGTAATTTCAATCAATATCGAACAAATTGCAATATGATTCCCGCTATAATTATATTTGTTTACTCCAAGGGGGGAGGGGGAGGAAATGGTGGTGGAAAATAAGATAATTGCTCTCCATTTAAATTCGATGTAACACGATCTGTCCAATATAAAGCTCGAAATTTCGTGTCGAGAACGAAATAATAGCTTCTTCTCTTTTTCCTCCACGAGAAGTCGCATCGACGGAATTCAATCGTTACGACGATTCTCTGGTTCGATCGTCCCTCGCTTTGAGAGATTTATACAAACGAATCGCCACGAGAATACGGTTCAAATTTTTCAAACCGATCTCTGAATAAATATTTCTTCTCGGAGATAATTTCGATCTCACGTTTCTAAGAAAAACGTCTACTGCTACGTTTTTTTTTTAAAACACCGAACGAAAGGAAAATCGAAACTATAATTTCGAGGAAAATACATCGGTATTCAAATTCTGTATTCTTGTCTTCTTCTTCTTCTTCTTCTTCTTCTAGATTATATATTTTCTTCAAGGGCTAGAAATTAAAGATGGGTCGAAACTCAATCCCTCGTCGATTTTCTCGAGATTCTCGAAACTCTTGAAAATCAAAATGAAAGAATTTTGTTAAGAAATCTTGACTTTTGAAATCTGAAAGAACCTTAATTCCTGCCTTTTTTTTTGCATTATTAGCCAAAATATAATCGTTGTTATATTTCGAATCGAAGAAGCTTTAAAAAAAAAAAAAGAAAAGAAAAAAGTTCGAGAAACTCGAAATTTCTTGATGGTTTGGTTTCGAAGTTTCTACTGTCCCATCCCCGCTACAAATATTTCATCGAAGTGATTGTACAAACAATCTCGGAAAGCTTAGCTTACTCTCAAGTTCGCAGTCCCCAAGTATTCCATATTGTTGTTTCCAAAAACTTTTACAACTTGGAGTTACTCGCTTCCTCTTCGTCCTCCTCTTCCTCTTCTTCTTCTTTTTTTTTCGTATTTTTATTTCTTTTTTTCTTTTTTTTTTCTTTTTTTCCATTTTCGTTTCGATGTAAATTTATAGAGAAATATCTTGTTACCTTAGCCTGTGTAAACATTTTTCATATGTAAATCGATAGTAAATAATGTAATAATAATAATAATATAATATCGTAATAATAATATTAATACAATACTCCTCTAAAATTGCCGTTTTATTATTATTTACACACACACGCCACCACGCTTTTGAAAAATCTAATCGAACCCGTGTATAGAAAAATATCCGATGAATTGATAGGGACTCGAGACAATCTGCGGCCATCGTTCACGCTTCTGAGAAACGCTTCACACTTTTTTTCCTTCTCGTTCTATCTTTTCTTTTCGCATCACATTTAATTTCAAACTTCTATCGAGAAGTGTTCAAATTTTTTGCCGCGTACAATTTGCGCAGAAACCACTCACGCTTTGGCCCCATAGCGTTAAAATCGAGAAAGAAAAAGAAAGAGGGAAGGAGGGAAGGAAGGAAGGAAGAAAGGAGAGAAAAGTGCAGGGAGATAGATTTTTCTTCCTTGATACGATGAAATTCCAAATAGATACGTGAATTTCCAATTTGAAATTGTTAATTGTTACTGGCCTAAAGATTACTTTAACGCGTTGAAGTAAGTTAAATAGAATTTTATCGATGAAAATGAATCGAAATTATCCAATGTAGATTTGAAAAGCGACTTTCGGATAATCAAAATCGATTTTGGTTTTATCTAAAAATTTTCTAGCGAGAATCTTTTTAAAAAATATAACGAAATATAAATTTCGATAAGAACCTTTTCTTCCTCTCCTTCATTCGAATCTACCGATCCAAAAATTTAAGAAAGATCCCTCGGTTCAAAAATTCTCTTCAAACAAGCAGATGTGTC